AGCGAGGCGGGGCGGGGCGGGCGGGGCAGGCAGCCCCACGATGATGGCCTGATCAATGTCATTAGCTACCGATTCCACTTTTTCCCTTTTCCGGGGATTTGGCCGGCCAGCAGGAATAAAACCTTCTTCGAGTGGGTGGACGAGGCCCTCGTCGAGGGGCCGGCGGTATCAGCCCCGGCCCATCGCGGCGCTGCCTTTGAGGGTCCTTAAGCGCCCCCCCCCTCCTCCTCCAAGACCGGCCAATATTATGATGTCGGGTGTCACTGCGGCCGCGTGCGCCGGCCACGCATTAACAAGCGTGATATGATCGCGCAGCTGCCTGCCCTGCCTATGCCCGCTGCCGTGCCGTCGCCCACTTCCCCATTCCTCATCCCGAACGGCATATAAATTATTTAATCATTTGAATCGTGCGCATCGCGCGGGATTGATTGTCGTCGTGCGGCTGCATCCACCAATGCCATCCTTCGCTGGAGGTCGCCGTCAGCGGTCGTCGCCGTCCTCGCCGCCGCGGCCCTGCGCCTCGTCGCGGCGGCCCGCGTCCACGGCCGGCACCTGCCACACGCCGTTCACGCTGACGCCCTTGTGGGTGGGCCCGGGGACGCAGCACAGTGGGCCCGGCGGCCGAAACTCTTGGCGCGTTGAGCTCGATCGAACGTGTGACCCCACGAATGGATTCCTCGTTCGAGCAATCCATTGGTGGGGTCGCACGTACGGTTCGAGTCCCAATCAGCGACTTTGGAGCTCAAAACGCGTCGGGAATTTTGACCGCCGCCACCGGTCTTCTGGCCCACTGTGCGCCGGGGCTTTGGACGGGCCCTACCTGGCTGGTGCCGCGGCCGAAGCCGTCCCCCACCAAGTACCACAGCATGGCCAGCAGCTCGACGTAGTTGGACAGGCGCAGGATGAGCAGGCAGGTGAGGCACATGGACGCTGCGCAGCGAAGCAGCGATGTCGAGTTCCAAGCGGACGACGGCGAAGGTTCTCGCCGACAAGAAGACGGCGAGTCTTACCTATGGGGTGGCGGGCATTGGCGGATTTCATGGTAAGTCGGAAGTGCCTTGGTAATGCGTGATTTTGGCTCGGAGAGCGTTGGGCGGCATTTTTGCTCCGTCGTTTATTTTTTCCCCTCGAGTCCGCCTTTGTTGTGTCTGGGCAGTGCTGCCAACCTGCGCCGCGGCCGCGGCCGCGGCCAAGAACAGGAGTTTTCGAGACGCGAGCGACTCCAAAAAAACAAAGAACAGGAAAAGAACTTCCAACAAACTTGTTTTTCTAAGAAGTATGAGAAATTGAAAGTAACACAGCCCGCCGCAATCGTGGTGGCTTTGCGGCGCCAATGGAGCGGTGCGACATGGCGCGGCCCGCGAAGGTCGCGAAGGACACTCCCTCGCCATCTTCGGGGTCGCTGCCGGTGACGCTGCCGGTGACGCTGCCGGTGAAGGTGACGCCGCGGCCGACCGCAGCCAGCTACCAGGGCGCCGCGGGGGGATGCCAACCGAGTGCAGAGAAAGATAGGTGAGAAAACACGCTTATCTTTGTTTGCCATTTAGCATCCAGAAAATATCGAGTGTGAAATGGGTTCCGTTCGGAATGGCAGCCCGTGGCCGGTGGCTGCCGTGGTGGAGGGCCGGCGCAGCGCCGAGTCCCTCACGCCGCTGGAGCTCGACGAGTGCCTGTTCCTGGGCAGCGACGAGGCCGCGTCCTTCATGGCGAGCAGGCGCAGCTCCGCCTGCCAGCTCCACGACGAGGACGCCGCGCTGCTGAGGGAGGCCATCGGGCCGCTCTACGACGCCATCGTCAGCGAGTTCCTGGCCGGCACCGCCATGGGCACCGCCCAGTGCGTGTCCGACATCAGCAGGGCGCGCCGCTGCTCCCTGGCGCGGACCACGGAGTCCAACCTGCTGCCCAGGGTGGCCGCCGTCCAGCAGGGTTCGCCGCTCTCGTCAGACGGCAGCTTCGTGTCCGCGGTGACGACGAACAGGGAGGAGGCTCCCACTGCTGCGGTGTCCAGGACGCCGAGCACGAGCAGCGTGGCGAGCAGCGAGTACACGTCGGCCGCCAGCGCCCTGCTGACGCCGCCGACGCCACCGACGCCGCCGACGCCCCCCGCTCGACGCGCACCTCCTGTAGTGCCCCCTGGCCGCTCACCCGCCCCGCGGCCGAGGGCGAACCGGGCCGCCGCCGCGGGCAGGGCGGACTTGGCGACGACCAGCACGGCGGCGCGCGGAAGGGGCAGAGTCTCGTGCCCCAGCAGCAGGTCCCTGCCCCTGTCCGCCACCAAGCTCAAGCCCAGGGCCGACGGCGTCCTCGGCTTCCGCAGCCAGGGCGCCCTGCAGCGCACCAAGCCGCCGTGACCGAGGCCATGGCGTCCCACGCCGACAGCCCGGCCGCCAATAAAGCCTCGTCGGTTAGCGCGCCGATTGGCAGTGATGATGATTCAATTACCTGGCCGAGAGAAACGACCTCCGCCCCGCGGCCAAGCACTGGCCAAGCCAGCGGCCCTCGGCTGGACGCTTCAAACATCTGTTCCGCGCTGCCCCGGCCAGGACTTTAAATTTGCCGGCGACTTTTATGGGCGCGCGGATGATAAGGTGCCTGGATGCCTGGATGGTGTGGAGCTCGGCGTGGAGCTCGGCGTGGAGCGGGGCGGTGAGGCAATCGGCGGACGGGCAGGCCGGCGCGGTAATTGTCCGGGAAGGGGTCGCCGACGACGGTGACGACGGCGTGAAAGGGCTCGACGGTCTCGACGTACAGGCGAAGCGGGCGGAGCGGGGCAGGGGCACAATGCTGGCTGAGGCGGGGCTCTGCAAAGACACCGCGCAGGACAATGCGGCCCGATCAGCCCGACTCGTTCGGCGGCGCGCCCCGAATTAAATGGCCTCGCGGTGTGTCTGTCTCTCTCACTCACTCCCTGGCCGTCAAGGGGATGCGGCACTCGGATCAATGAGGAGGTGTTCCAGAATGAGAATGAGCCGGGCGGGGCAGGCAGGGCAGGCAGCGGGTTCGTTATTAGCGCTGGCGTGTGTCCCTTATCAAGGCAGCGACCCGTTCAATTTTATTTGTTTTTTGGTATAAAAGTGACGTCCGCTGGCTGCTAAGTAGGCTTGTAGCCGATCTAAAATGCTGCCATAAATTAGGACGGTAGGCAGGCAACAGTCATGGAATTGTGGGTTGAGGAAAAAGAGTGGGGGGGGGGGCGTGCTGCCCCGACCCGGTGAGGCGAGCCCACCTGGGGGACCCTGGCACGAGCCCTGCCTGCCCTGGCACCCGGCAAGGACCCCGGCGTACAGTCCGTTCCAAACACTCGGCCGGGACGGCGTGCTGGGCTCGCGGGCTCGCGACGCCCCGCCGGCCAAGGCGGCGGTGGCGGGGTCCACCGCGACGGCGACGCCCCTCCACGCCAGCGCCGCGGACTCCCAGAGTCCCTCGGCCACGGGCGCGTCGATCACGCAGCGTTTTGTCCCGGCCAGTCCTTTTACGGCTTGTCCACCGCACTAATTGGTTTAGGCCTTTGGCCTGGGCAGCGGGCTCGCAGGACACCGCATCAGCGCAGCAGCGCCCGTCCACACTTCGACCCGCCAAAAGGGCCAAAAGGAAAGGACGCGCCGGGAGCCCCGAAAAAATGCAGACACTTTTGCTTTTTAGCTTTGCGTCGTGTTGTCTGGTTGACGCTGAGTGAGCTGTCCTGTACAGAATGCACCGGCACCCTTCCCCTTCCGGAGAGGGACGTGTCCACCTCTGCGGCAACCCCATGCAGCGACACAGTATCTATTCCATCGTTTGCCCGGACTTTTAATAAACACATTTCGGACGACGGACGGGCCAGTTGTGGCTAGGAATTCGTTCCGATCCTAATAGCCCAGTGCCACGCCACGAAAGCAGCCGGGCCGGGCAGCCGAGCGATGCCGAAGAGTCGTTTCGACGCTCTGTCTCTCTCGCACCCCTGCGGAACGGCCCATGGGTGTGACAGAGACAGAGCGACGAACGAGCCTGCAGGTCGTAGGCGTGTGAGTTACGGGAAAAGCCCTCCAAAAGGCAATACAGGTCGGCCATTAATTTCCGTGGGGGTTGGCAACCTTGTGCGTGTAAAAGTTGGAGTTCAAAATATTTCCGAAAAGAAGGCTCCTGAAAGGCATGTGAAGTGGGCGGAGCGGTACTATTGGACGAACCAATTAGTAGAGTATGTATTGTGGGGTTCACCAGCAAAGGAAAGCATTTTAAGCTCATAATAACATAGATGTACTTCAAAAAAGCTGCACATTATTCAAGACAGAGAATATAACATTTGTAAAATCTAATAATAAATATATGGCGCTAAATAATGGTAACCAAAAGACGAAAACAAGAACATTAAACCGACCCCAGGAAACGCCAAGATCGGGGTCTTGAGATCAGCGTCGTATGTACAGGGAAACAACCGAGGGGGTAAACACTTCAAGAAATCGTGTACAGACTACTCGGTATTACGCTGTATTACGGGTGTATTACACGTGTATTACGGCCCCAAAATGCCAAAATTTGGCACATTTGACCCAAAAATGGTATTAAGATCACGTGTATTACGCGTAATACACGGTTTTTCTGTACAGGGTATTACGCGAGTGGTTACCCCCTCGGAAACAACAAAACGATCACAACAGAGTGTCCCTTACTACTAAATCGCATTTACATTTAATTTAATTTTACATATTGCACGTAAAAGCGCATTGCTGGTTGCAGCAATGTTAGGAACAGGCAGGTCTCCCGGCTCGAACACCTGCCTCAGTGACTAAGATCCGTTCGTTAAACACTAGACAAAATCACGCTACTAAGGAGAATTACAATATCACAGCTCCTTTGTGTTCACTGGAAAGAGAGGCCCACGCGAGAGGCGAGTACGCAAAATCCCACCGAGTCGGCGTAAGCGCTCCCCGTCGGGCAGTCACTTTCTTTCTAAAACAACAAGAATAAACAAAGAAAAGCACCGAGGTTCAGGATCAACTTCCGCTGCGGCCGCAGGGGGGTCAGTCCGCGGGGGAGGCGGGCACGGCGGCCACGGCGGGCACCTTGGCGTACACGGGCGTGGGGCTGGGCAGGCTCTTGGGGGGCTGCGGCGGCTGCGGCTGGTAGAACAGCGAGCCCTGGTACGCGGGCGGCGCGGGGTGGCCCGGGTGGCCGGGGTGGCCCGCGGGGTGAGTCAGTCCGGGTGGGCCCCCCGACGACGGCTCGGCGTCAACCAGGCGGTGGTACCCCAGCGGGGCCAGGGGGTGGGGGTGGGGGAGGTGTGGGGGCGGGGGGTGCCCCGTCTGGCTGCCTGCTGAACAGAGAAAGGACGCGAGCGTTAGTCTTTGAGGTTGGCTGGCGAGGCCTGTTTGAAAATGGCGCGGCGACTCACCGTGTGAGGGCGAGGACTCGTGGTACAGGATGGGCACGCGGACAATGCGCTGCGCGGCGGCGGCCGCGGCGTGCGCGGACGCCATGTTGGCCATGTTAGCCATGTTGGCCATGTTGGCGGCCTCCAGCTCGGCGGCCAGCTGCCTCTTCCACTTGTTGCGACGGTTCTGGAACCAGATCTTGACCTGCGTCTCGGTGAGGTGCAGCGAGGCGGCCAGCCCCGCGCGCTCCGACGAGGACAAGTAGCGCTTCATGTCGAAGGTGGACTCGAGCTGGAAGACCTGCGACCGCGAGAACACGGTCCTCGTCTTCTTCTTCCTGGCCTTGAGGCTGTTGCTGGAGCCGCTCCCCGAGCCGCCGCTGCCAGAGCCGCCCTTGCCGTCGGCCTGGCCGCCGCTGCCCTTGTCGTCGAAGTCGTCCTCCTCCTCCATGACCTCGTCGTCGTCGATGGCGATGTGCTCGTCGTCCTCGTCCATCTCGGGGGACGCGGGGCTGGCGGGGCGCTCGGCGTGGCCCGCGTCGGCGGCGGGGCTGGTGCTGGGGCTGGTGCTGGGGCGGGGCGGCGCCGCGCTGGCCGGGCTGGGCGGCAGGAACGGGTACCCGGGGTACCGGAACGACAGCACCATCGGGGACGTGCGGCGCAGGAAGTCCTCGTGGAACAGCGAGGTGGCGGCGGGGGGCGGCCGCGTCTCTGCAACCAGGGAGCGCCGCGGTCAGGCCCTGCTCGTGCTTTCACAGGAAGCGCGCCGACCGCAGGCCTTGCCGCAGGCAGGCACCGCAGGCGGCGGGGAAAGTACTCACGGTAGGAGGGCGACGGCGTCCGGGCGGGCGATCGGGGACTACTCGACCGCGGCGAGCGGGTGGGCGACCTGGTCGGGGAGTGCGCGGGGCTGCCTCGCTCGTCGGCCGTGGACGTGGAGCCTGCTGCAACAGAGAGAGCAACGCCGCCTCGTGAGCAAAGGGGCCGAAAGGCTATAAATTCATTTCTTGACGAATCCTTATCGCGATGATGCTCCGCGCTGCTTCGCGCCGTTACCGCCACACTCTGGCCCTGCCCGATAAATCCTCATCTCCTTTTTTCACGGTGAGAGAGAGAGAGAAAGAAAGAGGGGGGGGGGGCGAAAGCCCGGCGAGGAGCGACAGGCCGAGCCATTAGGGCGTACACCTGCCGCTCCAGAAGTGTGAAGCAGCCAAGTCCGGACGGACGAGACTCGGGACTGACGCGCGAAGGCGCGAGCTTCCCAATCGGGTGCCACTTTGTTTCACCGCCAGACAGTTTCAAAAAGCTTACGAGGCGGAGGCGGCACGGCGGCACGGCGCGCCGGGGTGGCCCTATGTCACAGGGACTACGGGACGACACGAACGGTGTGCGCGACGCCGCGACGCGCCGATCCGCGCTGCAGTCACAGAGTCACAGCACCGTGGGGACCGCAAACCGTGTCCGCGGCCCGCTGGAGCGGCAGCTCAAATATTGGCATTGATTTATCCTTTGTAGCGTTTCTGTGTTGCACGCGAGTTATCCGCCACGACCCCCTGCGGGCGCAAAAACACTCTCACGCGCACACACTCACACAGACGCGGACACACCGACGCGGAGGGGGCGCGCGGCGCAGCCAAAGTCCCATACACCCGCTAAACTCCAATAAATCAATGTGTGAGCCCGGAGAGCGCCGACGCCCCTCGCACGGTATAGGTGTGGCGACGCCAGTACGGTGTCCGTGTGTTGTGTGCGTGTGTATGTGAGTGTGTTGTGTGTCTGTGTGTGTGCGCAGTATTTACGGCGAGTTGGCGGCGGTGTGAGGTATAGCGGGGATTACAGATTGATGACACATCCCAGCGCGGGCCGTGGCCGCGGGCACCGCCAGGCACCGCCAGGCACCGCCACGGCGCCAAGCGCGCATGTACACGGCGACGAGCAGCGCCATACGGAGGATTCGAAAACAACGACAAAAGTTGTGCGCGAGACGCAGCGGCGGCGGGTATCGATTAAAAACGGCGGCGGCGTGTGGGGACGGTCGACGGCGACGACGACGACGATGACGGCGGCCAGGAAAGAGAGACGGCGACGCTGGCGACGCCTAATTGGACGGTAATCCGATAGCTTTGGCAGCGCAGCATGGCGTGGCGTGGCGTGGCCGGGGATGGACGGGGAGGCGTCCGGGCGGGCTTTCATCGACGCCTTCGGACGCACCCCACGCGTCCAGGCGGAGCACTGCGAAGCACGTGAAGCAGCGCGAAGCACCGAGCATCGAGGGTCAACATTTTTCTAACCGGGCCGTTTGGCGGGAACTCGAGGGAACGGCACGACGCACAGTGGCCCAGAGGACGGTGAAGGCGGCCAAAATTCTAGACGCGTTTTGAGCCCCAGAGTCGCTAAACGGGACTCGAACCGAACGTGTGACCCCACCAATGGATTGCTCTCCGAACGAGGAATCCATTGGTGGGGTCACACGTTCGGTTCGAGTCCTGTTTAGCGACTCTGGAGCTCAAAACGCGTCTAGAGTTTTGGCCGCCTCCACCGGTTTTGGCCCACCGTGTGACGACGGCGTCCTTGAGTCCTCGAGTGTCGCCGGGAGTGCGGGGCGGAAGCAGCGCGCGCGGAGCCCGCGGGTCAGGCCCACTGTAGGCCGTGCGGGCGGCCGTGAAGGGCGGCAGTGGGAAGGCCCCGGTCTTAATTAGGATTATACGCCGCTTGCTGTTCGCCCCGGAGCTGTAGCAGCGTAGCAGCGCGGCGAGGCGATTGCTACAGTCTGGTGTAGTACACTGTGCTCGCGGAGACAGACGGCCGGGCCGGGCCGGGCCCCTTCCCTTTCAGCGCCGATTATTCTTTATTTTATTTTTGTTGGCGTCGTTGCGCCCCGCCGTGGTCGCCCTTCCTTCATTTACCTCCGCCGGCCGGGCCGGGCCGCGGCAGGGCTGGGCCGGGCCGCGCTGCTGCTGCTGCTGCTTCCTCGTCATTGTGCTCAACCCTTCTCCTCCGTGTCCGCCCTTAATCACCCGCCGTGTTTTTCCTCCCTTGTTCCTTCTCCCTTTCTCGCTCCCTCGACACTGAATCACGGCTTGTTATCCCTCTCCTCCTCATAATCCCCCCCCCCTCTCTCCCTCTACCTCTCGCTCTCTCTCCTGCTGCTCCATCGCCCCGCCCCTCGCAAGCACTGGTTTATTTGTACCTGGGCGAAGCAATTTCGTTGTTCACACCTTTCCACCTCTCCTCCTCCTTCTTCTTCTCTTCCTTTTTTATTTTTTTTAAATTCTTTTTTTTTCCGTTCCCGGGCGGGGCGAGCCCGTGCGCCGACATGGCCGCGCTGTGAGTGCGCGCGGGACGAAGGGAGAGGTGAGAATGTAGCGCTTGCACACTGTCAAAATAGTGTGTTTCTGACTGAAACGGGATCCGATTGTTTCGCGTTCAGACGCCTGGCGGTTGGCGGCGACGTACTCACCGGACGGGCTGGTGTGCGCGGCGTGCGTCCTCCGCGACCGCGGCTGCAGCGCGGGGTGGCGCACGGCCCAGGGCTCGAACCACGGCCCCGCCAGGTTGTGCGGGTGCCCCACCGGCGGGCCCACGGGGTGGCCCAGGGGGTGCATGGGCGGCCGGCCGAGGCCCGCCACCAGGCCGGGGACCAGCCCTAATCTGCAAGGCCGAACACACATTCTTCAGAAACCACACATTTTTCTAACTGCTCGAGTGATTGTTCCACCCCAGGGTGCTTTGAATATATATTTAATTTATTTCGAAACCAATCAATCCGAATCTAAGGAAGTTGATGAATTACTTCAAATTGAAACGAAGACAATTTTAATTTCACCACGGATGAAACATATGAGAAAATAACAAAAAGAAGCAAATCTTTGCGATTACTATACGAACATTAGATACGTGTTCTCAATTCAATATGTCAAGAAAATGCGCAATTCGTTCAAACGCGCGTTCAATCGCTCTTTTATGAGCTGCAAGTGGAGGTGCCTACCTGGACCAGACGTGTGCGGAGTGCGCGGCGTGCAGGGCGTGCACGTCGTGATCCTGGTGGCCGTCGTCGCGGTGCTCCTGGCCGTGGCCGTGGCCCTGGCCCAGGATGCTGGAGATGGAGAAGGAAGAGAAGGCTCCCGGCTGCGACTTCTTCACCGACGTCGTGGTCCCTGGCTGAGAGGACCTCCGGATGGCGGTCGGCGAGGACGGCGTCGTCGGGGTTCCGGGCGAACTCGGCGCCCCGGGGGACGGCGGCGGCGACGGCATCTGGCTGCTCAGCGTCACCGTCACCGAGGCCTTGATGGTGCCCACGGCGCCGCGGTCCGGCACGTTGAGCACCGTCTTGGCCGCGGACTGCGGCGGCGACGTCGGCGATGTCGGCGCCTTCCGGAAGGGCGTCGGCGTCGTGGTCAGCAGCAGCGGCAGGTCCAGCATGCCGTTCTTGGGCTTGAGCGGCTTGACGGCGGCCGGCTTGAGGGCGGAGAGGGTTCCGTTGACCTGCTTGGCGGTGCGCGACGGCGACACGGGCCGGAACAGTGGTGACCCGGCCGCGGAGGCGCCCACCGCGCCGACGGCGTCCAGCGAGGAGGGGCTGCCGCCGTTGGCCCGCGCGTCCATGCACTCCACGGCCGCGGATGAGGGCATGCTCAGCATCACCGGCTTCACCTTGATGTTGTTGTTATTGTTGTTGTTGATCGCGGCCTGTCGCGCTGACTCCGTCTCGGACAGTTGCATGTCGATGGATTCTGTCATAGTTTCAGCGGCTAGTCATGACGGTGGCACTCACTCACACAGACGAACACATGTACACTGTAAGTCGCGCACCAACACACACATACACAGACACACTGACGCACGCACGCGCACTCGCTGGCGGGGTTTCGGCAGAGCAGCCGTAGCGCGCAGGGCCACCTTCGGGGAGCGACTGAAGGGGGATGAGGGCGAGCATGCGGGGCATGGCCATGCCGAGGGTGCGCGCCGAGCCGCGCCGAGCCGGGCCAGCCTTCCCTCCCCTCCGGCCACGCTGCGGTGCCTCGCGCTGCCCTGCGCTGCCCCCACCCCCACCCCCACCCCGGCGCGGCGGCCAGCCCGTGCCGACCAACCCCAGGGCGGCGCTAACCCCGCCCCCTCCCCTCCACAGCGCGTCGCGTCGCCCCGCCGCGCGCCGCCACCCCTCGCGACCGCAACTGGGTGTAAGTAGTACCTGAGTGTCTGGCACGGCCAGGGCGGCCAGGACACCAAGTAGTTGGCGCTGCTGACCAGGGCCGGGCCCTTGGCTGGCAGGGCCGGGCGGGGCGGGGCAGCCACTTGTCGACCAGCATTACGCATGCTGGCTGCAGGGAGGACACCGAGGACGGGCCGCACATTTTCCATTGCCCGCGCTTCCCGCAACGCCGCATCGACCGAGCGCCGCCGCCCCGCCACGTAATTGAGGTTCGCGGGGCCACGAGGGGCAGCGGCGGCAGCGGCGGTCGGTGCGGAAGCGATCCCGCCATTTGCGGCGGGGGATCATGACGGGCGCCAGCACCGCGCAGCGCGGATTCGCCCGCTAATTGCTGTCCGCGGTGTCGCCCGGCCGCCCCCGCACCGCCTCTCCCACCACCTGCCCGCCGCCACCCTGGGCGCCACAGCTCCCCGCGGAGAAGTGCGGGGAGGGGGAGGGGCCGCGCGGCACGGCGGTCAACCGCGGCCCAGCACCAGCCCGGCCCCGCTCGGCACCCCACGGCCTCGCCCACGGCCTCGCACGGCCAGAGCGCTGCGCCACACCGCGAAAGTGGGCAGCCACCACACCGGCAGCAGCAGCCTCATTCCGAGAGTCGTCTTCGTCGCTCTGCCTCTCTCGCACTCATGGGGCGTCCCGTGTGAGTGCGAGAGAGGCAGAGCGACGGAGACGAGTCCCGGAATCAGGCCGCAGAGAGCAAGACCAGCGGGCGAGACCGCCCTTCCCTTCCCGAAGGAGGAAGAGAGAGAGGAGACGCGGAAGACGGACGGGGACACGTATTTCCTGACGGCAGGAGCCGTGTCCGCCATCAGCGCGATAAATGGTCCGGGCCGGTGGTGGGGCGGCCCGCCGCGGCCGTGGCGTGCGCCGTATCAGGCGATGTATCGGACAGCGAGTCGTTTTGCCGAGGGGCACGCCCAGGCCGGGCAGGCAGCGGGCACGCCCCGCACCGCACGCCCGCACAACAACCACCCCCGAAACTAGCCCGGCCGCGCCCCGCGCCCCACGCCGCCCCGGGCAGGGCTCGGCTCGTCCGCGGCCTAATGAAGCTGAGGGCCAGGCCGGCCGCCTCCAACCCTTTCCCCGCCGCCGTCTTTTTACCCGCGGCCCGCGGTTCGAATCCCCACAAGGACGCTTTGACTGTGTGTACACTTTCCGGGAAACGGTTTGCGAGAGCGAGGACGCCGCCGCGGCGGGACGGGGTCTGGGGACGGCACCGCGGCGTCGCGACGACCGCCGCCGGCCAGACGGCGGGGAGGACATGCGATGCGATAGCCGGCACGGCGTGGCGTGGCGCGGCCTGGGCCATTTGCTTAATGGTCGCGATGAAATGAATTGTCGGCCATCCCCAGAGCACCGCGTCGAGGAGACCTCGGGCGCCACGAGACCGTCGCGCCGGAGCGAAGACTCGGTCGGACGGCCACTGTACAGTAAGGATAAACTCTGGCGCGTGTTTGTGTGTGTGTCAGAGAGAGAGAGAGAGAGAGAGAGAGAGAGAGAGAGAGAGAGAGAGAGAGGAAGGGGGAGGGGGTGCACGCATGTACTCACTCTGCGGTGGCGCGTGGCTGTAACGTGCGGCAGTCGCCACTCATTAGTGGACGCAGCGCGCCGCCGCCACACTGCCGCGGCATGCCTCCCTGAAGCACTCCCCCGTGGGCTACCCTTCTCCGCCCGTCGCTCCGCCCCGCCCCTCCCTCGCCGCCTTTTAACCGCGTCCTGTTTGGGTAATGCATTTTCTAATTTTTTTTCGCACAATAGGCCTGCCTACCCCGTGAGTGGTTCGCTGTCCGGCCGGACAACTTTATTGGCAGGCGCGTCCCTGTAGGGCCAGGGCCGGCCAGGGCCTGGGTGGCAGGGCGTTGGTGTTTTTAGTGTTGTCCGTTGCTGTCCATAGCGCCGTGAGCCGCGGCGGCGGGAGTTGAACCGGCTGAGCCACCCTTGCGGCCTTGCGGATGGCCGACGAGGTACTCAACGCAGATTGGCCTCGTGGAAAGGGGGAGGGTGGGGGCGGCAGCTTTGAGACTGAGACGCGGCCGGAGCCACATGCTGCTGCAGAAGCGGTCCCGCAGCGCAGCGCGCCCGCCGACCGCCGCATAGGCACCCGCAGCGCTCCGACGCGCGAGGGGTTGCCTGCGCTCGCTCCCTCAGTGCGACAGGGAAGGCAGGCCGGCGGTCCTTCCCCACCCGCACCACGCGCGGCGACGACGGCGACGACGGCGACGACGACCGCGGAGGGGAGGCGGCGGCCATCTTGAATCCCCAGTGGCTGTCGATAGAGCGAACCTTTAAAGCGAAATAACAGACAGGAATCGCGGCTGGGGAGGCGAGCAGGCGAAGCAGGCCAAGCAGGCCAAGCCGGGCGAGGCGCGGCCCCTCCCCTTCGAGGTGAGATCAGCACAAGCTGCCCTGGCTGCCTGGCTTGGGCTGCCTGGCTTGGGCTGCAGTGCCGGCAGGGCGGTGGGGTGCAGGGGGTGGCGGCTGGCAGGCACTCGTTCTCCTGATTAATTTATTGGTCCACTGGGAGCGGCAACGCGGCATCGCGGGGCGGCATCGCGCAGGTGTAAGGCTGGAAAGCGGGAGGCGGGGGCGGAGCGGAGCGGAGCGGCCAAGGAGCGCGCCGACGACTCTTGAATCCGCACTCCTTTTCCAGGCGCCCTGCTCATTCCCGTTTCGTGTCGCGCTGTCTCTGTCGCGCTCACTGGGCGTCCCGTGCAGGTGCGAGAGAGACAGAGCGACAGCCTGCCGGGTCGCGCGAGTGGCGGGGCTAATAGTGTCCTGGCGTGATGCTCCGCCGGGAGTGCCTTGGCCGCCGCACGCCGCACGCCGCCGCACGCACGCCGCCGCTCGAGCGTCCTGCTGGGAGCACGCGTGTCTAATTGTCGCCCCGTGCGGTGCGCAGCGCCACCGGCAGCGCCTCGACGTCCGTGTCTACTTGTCCTGCTCCGACACGCGCGCCGCACCGGTCCTTTATTTCGACGCGGTGCGCCCCGCCCCGCCGCCCCCGCCGCCCCCGCCGCCCCCGGCCCAGCAGCACTCCACCGCGGCGGCCTGTATCGCCGCGTCTGCCGGGGAGTCATTTACCGGTAACGATAATGGATACAGCGCGGCGCCACCGACACCGCGCGGGCGTTAGCGGCGGCCGCGGCGTTAGCGCCGGAGAATGCCAGGCAGCCCCCCTCGGCAGCACCGATTCTATTTCCTTTACGTCCTCTTCCGTTTATTTCCCCCACTGTGAAAACCTCGCGCGCCGTATCTTGCGCCAGTTTTCATCTCGAGTCCTGGAACAGTTTGCAACCAGGATTTACAAGTGCATCAAAGTTTGTACCACTGCATTTTCATTCAATTTTTTTTTATACGGCGTGTTTCTATCCCTGTAAACTCCGCTCCAGAACGCTCCAGTGGCTCGCGAGGCTGGCTCCCCGGGGCGCCTGGCAGGTAGGCAGGCCCGCCGCGCGCCGCTGCTCGACGGGACGGCAGGCCGGCAGCCGGCACCTCCCCGCTGAGGTACTATGTGGAGGTGGCGAGGCGAGCACTGAGCAGCACCAGCATATCGGCGAAATGATGACAAATACGGCATGCAGATGGGCCGCCACCCAGGCTGACGAATGCGCCCCGCGAGAGTGTGTCGAGGCGGCAGGGGCGGGGGACCTCGTACACGCCCGGGCGGGGACAGCGGCCGGGGGCGGCGTGGGGGCGGCGCGCCGAACAGGCGAGCAAATTAGGGCGGGATAAGGGGAGAGGCGGGCGGCGGGGGCGGCCAGGGCGGCCAGGGCGGCCAGGGCGGCGCAGTCCACCTTGTAAGTGGTGCTTTCGTTTTAATTTAATAACTTAGGTGTGCGCGAGGCGAGGCGAGGCGAGCCCCGGGCTCGTCCAGGTGAAGCACGCCGTAGGGGTGGGGGCATCTTATCTCGGGAAACGTTGCCGGCATTGTCCCCCTGCGGCGACAAACGTCGCATAATTGGCGCGAAATAAAACACTTTTGCTTTTAGGGTTTCGTTTGGGGCGAAGGGGCCGCTATTGAGGAGGGCGTCTTGAGCCGGCGAGCCCCTCCCTCTCTCCCTGTCTCTCTCTCTCTCTCTCTGTCTCTCTCTCTCTCTCTCTCTCTCTCTCTCTCTCTCTCTCTCTCTCTCTCTCTCTGTCTCTCTCCCTCTCTCCCTGGGTGGCGCGCGGCGAGGCTCTTACCGCTATTACCGCGCTACTGATGCCAAAGGAAAATGAAGCCGCGGATAAAAAAATGGGCTCTCGCCCCATTTTCTTTTTCTCCCTTTTTTTTCAACTCGCACAATGCCGAGATCAAGTCGGGATAAAATATGGGGCTTAAAGGTGGCGCTCGCTGCTACGCCGCTACACTGCGAGGTGAGAGCGCCGCCCCGGCGAGGGAGGGGAGGGGGCGATCCTCCCCGCTATTGATGCCCTGCTGCTGCTGTCGCAGCGCTTGCCTTTGGTCGTGGCGCTTCTATCACGGAATTAACCTTTTCAAATCCCGCCAATAACAAAAAAAAGGAATCGGAAAAAAAAAATCAAAAGAAAACCGGCGTTTTGCTTCAGCGACCACGCAGCGGGTCCTTTGAAAGGGAAATGAATTCAAAGTGTGAAACACGCGAGGCTCATCCGCGGCGGCGCTGCTTTCGCGAAATGGCCGCGCGTTGTTGGGGCGAGGCCGGGTGAGTTTATGCGCTGGAACAGGGAATGGCCCGAACGGCCCCGGCTGACCGTTGATGGCCCAAACTTGGCAGCCTGTGTACGGCGAGACGCGCGCTGAGCCGCATGCCCGGGCTGTCAGGCGCCGCGCCGCGTGGTGGAGCGCACAGTGTAGGACCGCGGCGCCACCCCGCCACCCTGCCGCCCCGCCGCCTCCCGTGTCTATACTGCACTCCAGCGACCTATTACATTTCCAGCCACGGAATCGAGCCCCCATTCCGTGAGTCGGATAAAAACTGTAGCGTATTGTACGTCGCCGGGGGCTGTGGGCACGGCGTGGCTAGCGTGCCACCTTCGGCGCCCCCCGCTCCGCCCCGCCCCGCCCCGCCACGCCCCGCCCCGCCACGCCCCGCCCCGCCACGCCCCGCCACGCCTTAGCGCCGCTTGGCGTGACTCGGCCGCAGCGATTCCTCCAACTTACTCGGAATCAAATCAGGCGCGCTGGCTGCTAATGGAATCGATGCTCCGACCAAGTCTTCCTGCTGTACGCGTCTCTCTCGCACTCATGGGGCGGTCCGAAGGAGTGCGAGAGAGACAGAGCGAGAGCACTGTTCGGAGTCCGCCTGCAGGGGGCGGTGCGGTGGGGTTGGCCGGTGTTGCCGCCGCATCGCCGAAGCGGTGATTGCGGGGAAGGCCGAGTAGTGCCCGTTCCTTTTCATTGCCCAGCCGAGCGAGGCGGTCCGAACCAAAACTTGCCCGAATTGCGCCGTTCGCGGAGTTTTTAAACACCGCCGTAATTCTCGGCAAGAGTTGCCCGTTTTCGTGGTTAGGTCAGCCCCAGCGCTTCGCGGTGAGGGGCATGAGATAAACACTGGAGTTGCCCTCGCAGCGTCAGAAGACAAAAAGACAAAATGTTTAGGCGGGTAAAGAGACGTGGGTCGGAAAAGGGCCGCCCCACCCGGCCGCGGCCCGGGCGGCCCGGGCGCCTCAAAGTGCGGCGAATAAGCATCCGGGCGCCGCCAGGGAGTCCCCGGCAGGGGCGCCAAGTCCCCCGTGACTTGGCTTTGTCGCCGGGACCGGCTGGGACTTGCAGAGCCGAACTGGGAGTTTATACGATCTGGATTTGTTTCACAGCGTCCTCCCCTCCGCCCACGCCGCCCTGCCATGGCCATGCCGCGGTGAGATGGCAATGGCTGTTGCTGCAGATTCGGGGCTCGGGGCGCCAGGGACGGCGTTGGGATTTGGGATCTCCTTAGGACGCGAAGCCAGCCGGGAGCCTCCTCGAGAGGCCAGACAGGCGAGCTGCTAGTTTCCACAAACCCGAAAAATTTTCTCTGCGTTACAAACGCGTGTCGCTGCCATTTTAAAGCATGTCTCGGCGGTACTTCCGACAAGATATCTGACAGGTAACGTCCACGAGCTCGAGGACCGCGACGACGACCCCCAGGGGCGTGCCTCGGCGGCCTGGGCGGCCTCCCTCGTCGCCGCGAGGCACGGCGGGCGGCACGGCGGGCAGGCAGGCAGCGGAAGCCAAGCGGAAACGTCGCCGACATGGCTTTATTGAGATGTCCCGGGCATAACGGCCGGGCCGAGCCCTGTGGACGCGGAGCGCAGTAAAGTCGCGAACCAAGTGCTCCCCCGACAGTGCACTGTCGGGCCGCGGGCCGCGAAGCACGGCGACGCACCGCGACGCCGTGTCGTGTTCGAAGCCCATTGGCGCGGCGAGCGGCACACGCGTCGCACACGCGTCGCACACGCGTCGCCGCTCAGCCGTTCAAGATGAACCCCTGGAAAGTTGGGCCATCGCATAGTGTACCTGCAGGCGGCGAGGCGGGGCGTGGCGCGACCCACTGGCGGCGGCGACATTGAGCTGCTGAATTGCAAAGACGGCGTCCCCTCCCCCACGACCCGCCCTCCGTTGCCTAATACTCTACAAAACTCGATTTATTGGTCGGCCAGGCAAGGGCGAGGCGGGCGAGGCCGGCCTTCCCTTCCCTTCAGGCCAGGCCCCGCCCTGCCAGCCCCACCCCCGCCCCCCGCCCGCTGCTCTCCGCTCCGCCGCTTTTTCGCGACTCGACTCAGCCTTTATATCCTAAACTCTGATGGAGTTAGGAGCCCGACCCGGGCAGCTCCAGGCCCCATGCTCCAGGGCTCCGGCACGAAACAAGTTTACCTGGAGCCGCTGGAGCGCTACACCGGCTGGGGGGGCTCAGCCACCGGGGAAGGGTGTCGATGAAATTCCAGTTTGGCGCGACAAGGCCACGCCAGGCCACGAGCACGGCGGGCAGGGGCTCAGCCCGGCCTCGGGCGTCGGGCCTTGGACCGGGCCGAGCCGCTGAGCTGAGAGGACCGGAAGACGGGCGCGAACGCCGCGACTCCATTTTGTCATTTTGTCCTTGTGCTGCGCGCTGCGCCCTGCGCCCTGCGCCGCCCCGGTGGCTGGGCGCGCGGCCGCGCAGCACGGCGGCGGAATCGGAATGGAATCGGGTGGCGGTGGAGGTGCCTCGTTATTGGAGAGGAGAGGCTGGGGAGGCATGTCGAGTCGCCCGGTCCGCTTCCCGCCAAGCCTTCGGCCTCCTTTTCCTCGTCGTCGTCGCACTGCCGCGCGCTGCGCGCTGCGCGTTTCAGGGGCTGTTACCCCCATCCCCCCGCCGCCCCCGCCGCGGCCTGAGAGCTCTCAACATACGCCGCTAATGGCCTTCCATTGCTGCCCTGCCTGGCCCTGCCTGGCCCTGCCCCCTTCAACCCCCGCCCCCACCCCCTCGCACGGCGCAGCGCGGCAACCACGAGCAGCAGCTCTGGGCTCTTCATTTTAGTGGCCGTCAGTTACACTTGGAAAGTGCCTTTCGAAGAAGAGTGCGCCACTAAGGTGCTGCCGTGCGGGGGCGACCACCACCCCCGCCCCGCCGCCACGCCACCCCCGTTTGCCGCCCCACGCCCCACGCCCCACGCCCCACGCCCCACGCCCCACGCCCCACGCCCCACGCGCCACGCCCCACGCGCCACGCCCCACGCCCCACGCCCCACGCCCCACGCCCCACGCCCCACGCCCCACGCCCCACGCCCCACGCCCCACGCGCCACGCCCCACGCCCCACGCCCCACGCCCCACGCCCCACGCCCCACGCCCCACGCCCCACGCGCGGCCCCCGCGTGTCCAGCGTAGGCACGGCAGGGCGCTCGCATGTGGCCGGTGGATTTGCCCACTCATTTCGTCCGGGGAAGGAGTAATAGTTTTATCTTTCTAAGTGACTGGGGCGGCCGGGCCGGTCAGGCCTAAGCATGCAATAGCAGCAGCCATTTTGCCGGGACGACGCGCACGCAACGTTTTCAGGCGAAATTTCCTTCCGAATGGAGCTCGCTTGGGCGCTTTTTTGCGAATGTTTTTCGTACGTCGGCGACGAAGAGCGCGTGGCGCGCCGAATAGCAGAGCAGCACACCGTATGACGGCTCTGTGCGCGATGTGCGCGATGGGGCCGCGCGCTTGAAAGCGCTCCGCTGCTCCATGTATGCCCAACACCCATCAACCCTTCCCGCCCGCCCTTCCCAGATTTATTACTCGACGTGCGCGAGTTCCCCACCACCACCACCTCTGCTACCGCACACACACTCTCTGGCCTGAAATAATTAGCGCCGCGCCGACGATAAAAATCTGGAGCAAGTTGGATGATGGCGAGATAACCGCGGTGCGTCCGGCTCCGCCCTGCCACCCCGCCACCCTGCCACGCCACCGGCGACATGCACTTGGTGTCGGGGCGCGGCCGGCGTGGCGACTCCACCGCCAGGTTCATGTTTGCGCGCCGAGTTGCGCCAACGTGTAATGTACATGTGGAAGGAAAGCGAAATAAAAATCATTGAAAGGGTACAAAAATTATTGACTTTTTATTTTTTTTGTTGGTAAAGAGAGTGTGTTGCGGCTACGGCACGGTCCAGACGTTGCCGCCGTCGGCGAGGCACGTCCGCAGCGCCTCCTGCGCGAGGCTGACGGTGCGCACGGGCGGCTTGGTGAGGGCGTGCATGTCGTCCAGGAAGCGGCACAGCCAGGGCAGGGCGGCGCGGGGCTCGTCGCGCTCCATGGCCTCCAGGGCGGCGTCGAACGCCCCCCGACAGGCCTCGAGGCGCGGCCGCACGCCGGCCAGGTCCACGTCCACGCCGCAGCGCGGGCACGCGCCGCCCGCCACCGCGTCCTGCGCGCGCGGCGCCCTCATGGTCTGCGGGCAGCCCTCGGCGGGGCAGCGGAACCGGAAGTCGTCCTCCAGGAGGTGCTCCATGAGCGGCCAGTCCTCGGCGCAGGCGTTGCAGCCGCAGCGGAACCAGTAGCGCGAGTTGAGCGTGCGCTGCCGCTGCGCCAGGCTGCGCTTCGTGAAGATGGGGCCGTAGTTCTCGGCCACCACGTCGCCCGCGGCCAGCGGACGCACCGCCGTCACCACGATGTCCCTGCCGCGGAAGTACCTGCACGAAGAGTGCGCACGACCGGGATGTCAGCAGGTTCCGAAACGAACCACACACACAAACGAACCCACAATGGGACTCGATATGAGCTCCAGAGTCGCTAAATAGGACTCAAACCGAACGTGTGACCCCACCCATGGATTCCTCGTTCGGAGAGCAATCCATTGGTGGGGTCAGACGTTCGGTTCGAGTCTTGTTTTGCGACTCTGGAGCCCAAAACGCGTCAAGAGTTTTGGCCGCCTTTGGCCGTCTTCTGGCCCACTGTGTGAACAGGGGCAAAAGCGACACGTCACCTCTATCCGCTTACCTGGTGACTGCGGGGTAGCAGTCGTGATTGAACAACGCCACCGTGGGGTACACGGCCACGCCGATGTACATGATCTTGGCGGAGCGGAACTTGCTGCACTGGCCGGCGGCCAGGTCCTTCTCCTTCCTGGGCATGATGACGGTCTCGTACACCTCGTGCGCGTTGAACTGAAGAATCTGCAGGTGCCTCAGCAGCACAGCGCCGACTAGCAGTTCGTCCTCGTTCAGGTCACCTGTTGAATTGGACCGGATTTAGTTCAGTCGTTGAGCCTGTGAGTATAGAGTATCTGCTAAAGTGTACACGCACCGTCCAGGTCGGAGACCTTCGGAAAGAAGCCGCTCTCCTGCAGGATCCTCAGCAAGAACAAGGCCATCACGCTGCGCTGTAAGAAGTCCTTCCCGGATCTCCTCTGCGCGTGCGCCTCCATGTAGTACATCTTGGGGAACGAAAGGTTAAAACCGGTTAAAACTAACTTCAGCTACAGCCGGACCAACGCCTCGCCCAGTGCGAACACACCTTGAGGTACTTCTGCTGCTCCGCCGAGAGGTCGGCCTGCTTCTTGGGCTTGGTGGCGTGGCCGGCGAGGTGTTCCCGCAGCCCGCGGAAGAAGGCCAGGCCGCGCTGGGTGACGGCGCGCAGGGCGAGGTGGCACAGGACGCTCATGCCGGAGCCCAGCAGCAGGCCCAGGTGGCGGCACTCGTAGCCGTGGTAGGCCTTCGCGGCCTGCAGGCACGCGTGCCCGCAGAAGGCCACGCCGCTGCAGGTCTCGCAGGCCACGGGCGCCAGCAGCCTGGAAAAGAAGGTGTCTCGGCACGCTCCACAGTGGGCCAGAAGATCGGCGCAGGCTCTAGACGCGTTTTGAGCTCTACAGTAGGGACTCAAACCAAACGTGTGACCCCCACCAATGGGTTCCTCGTTCGCAGAGCAATCGATTGGTGGGGTCACACGTTCCGTTTGAGTCCCATTTAGCGACTCTGGAGCTCTAAAACGTCCGGGACTTTTACCACCTCCACTGGTGTTCTGGCCCACTGTGCGCTCTCTTTCTCTCGTAACAACAACAACACCAAGCGACGCCTACTGTACCTGCCGAAGCAGTGCAGGCAGTGGGTGCCGAACTTGTCCGGCAGCAGGCAGGCGGCCTCGGGGGACTCGACGACTAGCGTGTCTCCCGTCCGGATGGGCTTCGCGGCCTCCATCTGCCGCCCGGCCGTCTTGGTCCTAGACACCCTCAGCAAGCTGGACGCCGCCGGCAGGTCGTGGTGCTGCCCGCCAGCCAGTGGTGGTGGAGCGGCCGCTGCAGGGAGATCCGAGTTTCAAGGACGAGATTGCAGACTGCATTAGAAAGGGCCACGGTGAAGCCCAGCCCTGAGCCCCGAGGAGGAAGCGCCGGAAGGTAGGCAACACATCGCACGCCACTGCCGCATGAGCTGCCTCCACCCGCCTGTTTCTTATCGAGGGTCCGCCGGCCGCGCGGCTGTTCGCGACCGCGTCAAAAGCATGTTCATCCGGCAGCGTGGCCGAGTGGTCTAAGGCGCTGGTTTTAGGCACCAGTCCGAAAGGGCGTGGGTTCGAATCCCACCGCTGTCACTCGTTTTTACTAACCGTCGCCTCCAGCCGACTTCCGGGCCTTGTCGTCGGAGGGCCTGGGCACCCTGAGGGCGCCCATGGCTTGCTGGATGGTCGCGGTCCAGGCCGTCCTCTCAGTCTTGTCCGCCACCTTCTCCAGCAGGCGGCCCGCCACCTGCAGCGAGGCGCCGGCCTTCTTGGTGTCACCCAGGCCGTGCTGGCACAGCCCCATGCGGTAGAACGCCTCCAGCCGCCTGCTCTCCGGCAGCCCGCTGCGGAGGCTGTGCTGCACGTCGTCCAGGCTCTGCTGGAAGTGGCGCAGCTGCAGCAGGGCCTCGGAGCGCGCCCACAGCGCCAGGGCGAGTAGCGGCTCGGTGCCGGCGGGGGCGGGGGCGGGGGCCGGGGCGCGCATGACGGCCTGGCTGAGGGTGGTCAGGGCGCCGCGCGAGTTGCCGCCCCTCAGGATGCGCTCACCCTCCAGGCGGCGCTGCGACGCCACGTCGGCCGCCTTGGACCGGAACACGGGCTGCACGTTGGCGAGCATGCCGCGCACCGCGTCGCGCACCTGGGCCACACGGGTCACACAGTCGCCTTGAGTCGAACAACACAAAGCCCATTACCAGAGGCGTGTCGCGGCTCACCTTCGGGTGCGAGTAGCACGTCTCCAGCCGTTGCCGGTCGTCCTTGAGCTTGGCAAACTCCTCCACGAACGCGATCCCGGCGCCATCCGTCACCGCCTCCACCAGGTCCAGGAAGAAGCCGCGGCGGTCGGACTGCAGCGTCGCGTCGCTGCACATCTGCGTAAAGTGCGGGTCCAGGTCCGACCAGTCGCTCACCGCGAAGTCCACCACGGCCGGAGCCACGGTGGAGGCCATGGTGGCCACGGTGGTGGTCATCGCGAGCGTGCACGGCCCACGTCCCCAGGGGCCTCGGTGCCCGACTGGCACCCATGTGCACAGCAGCCCGGCAGCCGGCACCAACACCGGCATGAGCAGTCGCGGCCAGGTAAGCACCGAACCCCATCCTCGACTAGCCAAAACTGCCAGGGCGCCGAGTTAGATAGGATGGACTGTGCAGGCGGCGTGCGGCCAAAGCTAGACAGAAATAACCGGCCGCAAGTCAAGCCGGTGCGTGGCGGCGGGGCGGGGAGGGGCGTGGGGGAAATCAAGAACACCCCGTCAGCTGAGAGCAGGCTGGGGGAAGGGGAGGGGAGGGGAAGTACCTTCAACTGCAGCTGTGGGATATGACTGCAACTCGACGCTGTTCAGCGCCTTATAACAGACAGGCAGGGCGAAAGAATCCTCGGGGTCGAATGACGGTAAAAGCAACTATAAATTTATTTATCCTCTTCTGAGCTACCACATTTTAATATCAAGGTACAAATACATTACTAAAAAGATACATGCCAAATACACAATACTGTACGACTTATTGTCGAATATATATTCAATACATTTTCCAAAGGGTACCTTGAAGGTATACGAGCCTAGTGTGAGCTGACTGGCTGTAGGTATACATAGACTATAAAATACAACAGCATGGTATATAGTCATGGCATTTTTTTCATCACAAATAAAAACTTTCACCCTGTAAATCAATTTAATTGGGCAACTCATGTGGAGCTTAACATTAATAAAGCATTCTACATTTACACACAGTGTTTTTGATAATCATGGCTCTTATTCATGGCAAAAGCAACACTAATATAGTGTAAGGACAGTTGCATGACTTGCACCAGCACAACACAGACTGATATACTTTTATTGGGGGGTAAAAAATGGTTTCCTTTGAAAGCAGACCTGTGCGTTCTTTGGCTCAAAGTGCATCTCTATTAAAAGAGCAATCTTATAAGAAGGGATATATATTAGTTCTACATTTTTTCATGTAAATCTAGACAATTGTTTAAAAAACAGATAGTTTGTGAAAAAAGTCAGGAAGTAGAAACAGCTACAAAAATTTAGGATGGGATTATACTCACTGTCACAGGAAAGTAGTGACCTAGTAAATAAGCAGTACAAAAAAAATTATTTAAAAATGATGAAAGGGTGGCATGGTAACTTGGTAATGTGCCCTTACATGGTCATTACTTACACATAATCAGTTCTTGGGGGCAATAATTCACATTTTAGTCCAGTTCATTATTGAAACAGGACTCCCTTAGTTGCTGAGCGAAGCGAAGCACCCTGTTTGGGATTTTGAATAGCTCATTTGTCCGACCCCCCCCCTGATACCTTTAGTTTACAAGAGGTATCTTCCTCTGTTTATTTTTACTATATTCATATGCGTATACATAGTCGAAGCTTCATAGTCCAAGCTCTATAGTCCAAGCTCTAGAGTCCAAGCTCCATAGTCCAAACTCTATAGTCCAAGCTCCATAGTCCAAGCTCCATAGTCCAAGCTCCATAGTCTAAGCTCCATAGTCCATATTCTATAGTCCAAGCTCAATAGTCCAAGCTCCATAGTCGAACGCCAAGCTTCATAGGCCATTTAGTTTGAGAATAAGATCTGTCGCGAGTAGGGTATGATCTTTCGCGAGTAGAGGAAGATCTGTCACGAGCCCGTTAGGTTAGGTTAGGATTGGTTGGACCATTTAGTTTGAGAATAAGATCTGTCGAGAGTAGGGTAAGATCTGTCACGAGTAGAGTAAGATCTGTCACGAGCCCGTTAGGTTAGGTTAGGATTGGTGGGATCATTTAATTTGAGAATAAGATCGGTCGAGAGTAGGGAAAGATCTGTCACGAGTAGAGAAAGATCTGTCACGAGCCCGTTAGGTTAGGTTAGGTTTGGTTGGACCATTTAGTTTGAGAATAAAATCTGTCGAGAGTAGGGTAAGATCTGTCACGAGTAGAGTAAGATCTGTCACGAGCCCGATAGGTTAGGTTAGGATTGGTTGGAACATTTAGTTTTAGATTATTAAATAGCCTTCCGTCGATTCAAGGAGAAACCAACCATTGCCGAATCACAATCCTTTGCGCGAAAGCATACTTCCTGGCTATCACCCCCCCAAAAAGAAAAGAGGCTCATTTTCAAAATAAACACATCCAAATTTACTACTGATGAAAATGCATTTCCATCTCCAGCAGAATCCAGCTCAGCATCGAGGCCGAAGGCCTTCCCCTGGCTAGTAAGAGGATCCATTCTGGCAGACCAGGGTAATGGCTGAAAATTGACTCACAAAATTGAGACAATGCTTGATTGTAAATATCAATGAAAAATGATTCATAAACATGAAAGTCTTAGACCCATGATGCTGACAATAAAAATTAAAAATACCTCTAGTTTCTACAGTTTGAGCTCTTTCTTCCACCAAACTCAAATTCACAATATATAATTGATACAATATTCAAATAATTCCTCAATTCAAGATCTTAAATATTTGTTTTGACTTTACATTGCATCACAGACAAAATAAATTATAGTGACAATTATTCAAACAGAAACTGGCCAATAAGGTTTTAACACCCCTACTAGATTGTAGTAGTTATAGCGGCATAACCTTCCAATTAATTCACAGCTTTTCATAAGATACAGCTACCGGTATGTTCTCTTTAATACTTTTCACATATGAAACTATAAATATCATAGAAGATATAAAGAGAGCAATATTAAGAGTGAAATGTCTACAATGTATAAATGCATCAACATCTAACTTTTTGAACAACAATAATTGAGTTACAATGACAACAAGAAAAGCAGTTTGACATTACATGGTAAAGTGCACTACAGCACAACTAAGCTTTTATTAGAGCAACACATATTTGCTTGCGTTTCACTAAATTCTAACATTGATAAGGTTTCTGAGAGATTGAGAATGAACATCAAAGTCGCACCTTGAGTTCATCCATTCTCTGTTTTATTCTCTTCCGAAGTTCTGCATACCTGCAAACAAAATAAGTTTATAGTTAAAAAAGAAACAATAAATTAGCAGGATTTTAAGCAAATAAACATGGAGTTTACACACCTTGCTTGTACAGCCTGTACTTGTTTGTCTTCTTCTTTTTGATACACTTCAATGATAGCAGAGCACTCTGCGACCGAAAGATTCAAAAATTGAGCAACTTCATTGCTCACTTCACTTGTGCTGTGTCGATCAACAATAAAAATTCTAGCAACATCCTCATGAGGTCCAAGAAGTATGCGAGTCACTAAAGGATATTCATCTTCTCGCAGTCGTCTCTGTTCTGGAAGTGGAGGAATCATATGGTAAGGTTTAAAGCTTAAAAGCCAGGGCACAAACTTTTAATAGAACTTACCTCCATTATCATAAACCACAAACAGAGCAAAATTATCGGGTTTGCTGTCCACTCTGTACTTGTCCAGCATTAAATTGACCACTTCCTGAGTTGACACAAGGGAGGTGACCCAAACACTAGTGCTGCTTCCATGAGGGGGAGTGAAGAAACTCGTTTCACGATCATAAAAATGGCCGTTGATAGAGCATCTCCTCCTCAGTTTCGTTCGTGAGCGTCGTCGACCGGGGCGCCGGCGAATGGCAGCAGATCCGGTTTTTGCCGCTTTCCGCCTACACTGAATATCGCTAGCGCCTTCAGAGAAAATGGGAAACAAATAGAGAATCAGGTTCAAAGTTGAGTATGTTACTGTAGTGACATGAAATGCCAGGTTTTACTTACAAGAGTCCCCCAATCCACTACTGCTGCTACTAGGAGATTCAGGGACACTGAGTGAACGATCCAGAGCTTGGTCGGTCAAATCTGATTCATCATCATCAGCATCGTCATCAGCCCAAACATCCCCATCAGCATAGTAATCTGGTGGCATACTTTGGGACCTGGACATTCGTTTATCAGCTTCCAAGTTATCTTCAAAGCATTTTGAGTAAGAATCAGTATCATCATCATCCACATAACAGTTTAAAGATTTAGTTGATGTTGACAGTTCTTCAACTTTTGTTTTATCACTCTCATCTTCTGAAAATTCTTTTTGAGCAGCTGCAGGACTATCTTGAGATTCAGATTTGCAGTTTGCATTATCAAGAGGTAATTCTGTTGATTCTGTACTTGATTGAGCAGTCAGAGGAGCACGTGGTGTTGAAGACGTACTGGATTCATATGACTCAGGAGAGGACACCGTATGCAGACCAACAGGCATGGTCTGATAGCGCTTGTCTCCTTCCTCTACACGCCGTTCCACCTGATAAACAACACAAATAAATGTCAAAAAGAAGTTGACAGCAAGTGAGATGGGTTATTCCACAGGTTTAAAGCCATGCCATGCACCAAGAATGAAATGACACAAGATAATGAATAAAAAGAAAGCATGGAAAAGGAGAGAGCCTGGTAAAAAGCAGAAACATCAGAAGGGCAGCTGTTCTGTTGTCACCTGAAGAAGATCATCCAGGTCATCCCAATCAATATCCTTCAAATCCAATTTTGCTGGAAGAGTGCTGCTTTTGTATTCAAAGCAAGAATTGGTTGAAGATGATGAATCATCAAGAGGAGCCGCTTTTGAATGAACAGGCGAAACATGAGGGGAGCTCATAGGTGAAGTCATAGGAGAGCTCGCGGACGAGCTACTGCAAGATGTTGTGTCACTGCCAGTAGTATCACTTCTGGCTTTGCCATTGAGATACCTCTGCAAGGAGGAAAATGTCAGCATCCAACACCACATGCAACATATTCCAAGCACGTACAAAAAGATCAGATAAAAGAACCCAGACAGAGATACCCCAGAAAATTTTCATCCAACATTTTGTACTACCACCTAGTGTTAGGAACAAAAATTAAGAGAACATAAAAGGAAAACATGACAGGCAGCAAAGAGTCCCCATATAAAATGAATACAAATTATAACTTACACTTAAATTACCATTGCTGTATCTGTAAGAATTTCTTTTTCTAACAGTGACAACAGTTCTCTGATCATACTCTTCTTTCAAGTGAATGACTCCAACAACTCCCCAGTAAATTCTGAGAGCTCCTTCCAGAACTAAACGTCCATTCACCTAACACAAAAAAAATAAAAAAATAAAAAATTATTGTTTTAAAAACTAAAATATAAGAGAAAACAAAAATTTAAAAACAATACAAACCTCCCTGCTATGCACTTTTCCACTTTTGCCTTCATAATATTGATTGAAAACTTTTAGTTTTGAGTCAAGGTGAGACCTAGAGACAAAAAAGAAACATACAGGGGTTCAGAAACAAACAATTCAATGTTTTAATATTAAAAATGTAGGGGATAGCAGAATAAGATACCTCGGTAAATTTGGGATCCCTGAACGATTTTCAACCTTCCCAAAGCTAGTATGGGACTCAACTCTGGTCCCATGACCAAAGAGTTGAGGTCCGAAGAGAGCGCCATAGCATGGCACATGGCAGTAAGGTACACCCTTATGCTACAGACAAAAGACACAAGTAATATAGGTAACACAGTCTTCTAAAGATAAAATTCAAGCAATGGCAATTCAAATACCCACCTCAGCGTGTTGACCAGGGTTTAACCTTTTCCCACATTCCTCACATCGAAGACATTCTGGATGCCAGTCATAACCCAAAGACTGTTTTCTCTCAGCTGAAGGAAAGGCAGAAGTACAAACAGAAATGAATAAACAATCAAGATAAAGTACATAGTACAACAAGAAACACAAAAAAAATATAGCGATCCAAAGTGCATGCACGACAAAGCAATACATGTAACAATGATCAACTTCATACATAGGGAGGGAAAGTGTTGAAAAGGCTTTGTCTAAAGCATTCAACAGCTAAATAACTTACCAAAATACACAGGTTTTCCACATTTATGACACTTCCACATCTTAACAATGACATATCAATCGCCGCCAAGAATAGTCACGTCCCTATAAAAAAGGTAAATTGTGGCGAAAAAAAGCTTATGGATTGCTTCGGATGAAAGTGCTAATATACAGTCATTAAATCAACACATCTAGAATAAACAAGTAAGTTTAAATAGATTGTTTTGGCAAGCAGTACAAACGATCATAACCTTAGCAAGCCTTCCCTACTCTTTTGTATCTTAATCTGAATGTGAATCATTTTCACCAGGACTACCACCTTACCGGGCGGAGATTACTCCCTGAGAACTTCTATATCTCGGACAAAATCAATGAGGGTTGACAAGGTTTCTTCCAGAAATATTAAAGAATTTGTATATTTCAAAGGTCAAAAGCTAGTAAGCGATGTGGTAATGAACGGAAATTTGAATCAGAAGTTTTACGACTGGCCTGGTCAGAATGAGGTCGAACGAGTCGAACGGACTTTGGTGAAAGGGAACGCCCCCGTCAACTTTTCTGCTGGCTGCTGCTGCTACGTCACCAACGCGTCATCAACATTTGTGGATCACCTGGCCCTTCTTGAAACGGGGCTGTTGTCGTCGAAGTCTTGAAGTGAATGCTCAGAATAGCTCCTCGTTATTGACCAATATGGATTTAATACGAGAAGTTGTCAGCACGCCATACGCATTCCCGGCTGGAATCGTCGCGGTGGTGATAAGCTGTGCTATTCTTGTGTTTGTTTTCGGGTTCAAATCTGCGCAAGAACCACCTTTTGATCAGCTTTCTTTCTCAAATGACGACCGGAAACCAGCTGGCAAGAAGCGCAAACTGAAGGACAAGGTACACGTCGCTACACTGATACATTTGATTTTGATTTCATTCAAAAACTGTGTTTTGTGTCCAACCCTGGATAGTAGTATTCACATGCAGTATCCATAAGGGTTTGTTATCCCCTTCCTTATGTTCATGTCTAATGGGGTTAATACTTTCCTCAACCGGCCCGAACCCCATTATCCCGTGGCCTGGCCCTAGAACTTAGACAGCACCTCTTCTATTTGAAGAGTATGTTGTAAATCTTTTCATTCATCTTAGGTCTAATACTCGAGTCTTAAATTTTCATTTTATTTCCTTTGTGGCCCGAGGCAAAAATAATGTCTTAGCATTGTAGTCAAAAGCATTCAAGCCCTCAGATGTTGGACTTTGAAAGTATTCTAATCCTAACTAGCTTGTCTAGAAATGGTTTGAGGCTGAACCAGATGGAAAGGGCGAAATGAATCTTTCGTTATGCAAACATTTTGAAAATCACTTTTGTACTCCTGTTTGCAGAAGTCCCAGTCTAACGGGCATGCCACTTCTGTGAAAGAGAAGTCTGCTAAAACTTCCTCTGACTCTGAATCTACCAAGACTCCAAAGCAATCTCCAAAGCAGCAGCCCAAAGATGCTCCCAAGGAACAAGCCAAGAAGAAGGACGCAGCTCCTCAGCAACAAAAGGAAAAAGGAGCAACCACCAAGAAATCGGCAACTTCAACTCCCAAGCAGCAAACAACTCCCAAGAAAGCTGGGCAGGAAGCTCAGAAGCGAGTGAAGAAGCAGGAAAAGTTTGAAGATGATGATGATAATGAAGGTTTGTGATTTTGTCTTATTTTTGAAACAGCAATGCTCAAAAGAATGCTAAAATGGGTTTTATAAACAAGTTGCTACGAGTTTGTTCATTGCTTTCTCAACAAAACAATTTTTTTACAGGTTGGGAACAGGTTGGCAAAAAGAACAAGAAATCCAGCCCGCATGCTGCAGCAGAGGAGAAAGGTGCTACTCCCTGTCAAATATTTGCTACTTAAATTTGGTTTCATTAATCTAACCAATTTCTATGTTTTGTTTTTTCCTGCAGTGGACAAAAGCGGCTCTGCCTCCCCTGCTAAAGAAAAGAAAGCCAAGAAAGGTGCTGAAGCTGAAAAGTCAACACCTGAGGCTCCCAAAGTGACCAAAACTAAAGTTGTTCCTGTCGTTGAGGAAAAACCAGCTGCTGCTGAGAAACCAATTGCTGCTGAAAAGCCAGCTGCTGCTGAGAAACCTGCTGCTGTTGAGAAGCCTGCTGCTGCCAAAGAAGGCAAGGACAGCCCAAAGAAGACAGCTCCCAAGGACAATGCTAAAAGGTTCTTCGTCCCTCCTTAATTTATACTCTAATTTTTCCAACCAAATTTTGCATTTTTATTTGATTTGCTAAGAGCTTTCTTGTCCTATCCAGTGAGAAGAAGGCAGCCCCAGCCAAGGAACCAGCACCACAGCCTGCTGTAGCCAAGAGTGACGAAAAGAAAGAAAAGAAAAAGAAGGCGTCTGAATCCGCTTCCTTTATTGAAAGTGAGAAAACAGCAATCAAAGTTGAAGGTATGTTTTATATGGTTCTTCAAGTTTTGCTCTCCTCATTGTAGAATAACATCAATTTTTTGTTTTCTTTTGCAGGAAATGTTGAGGCTGCTACTGAAAGTGGAGCTGTATTTGATGAGCTTGGTGGTGTGTACTACAACATCTCTAAATTAAACTGTCACTGTTTTGCATTTGCAAGTATTAACTTACAATTTTATTTTCTCAGATGTGTGGACGGAGAAGGTGCCTAAGAAGAGTAAGAAGAAGGCACGTAAGGAGTGATTTTTTTTTTCTACTGAACTGCAGCAGATTTATCAATAAGGGTATTTTGCCCATGTCTTGACTGGTTGTGCTCTGGAACTTCTATGACAGCAATACTTATCCAGGGTGCTGCCAAGCCATTTCAGGCCAAAAAAAATGCTGTGACTCTCGTGGTGCAATATGAGTACTATTGTTATTTTTCTCTCACCTTTTCCTCTTTGTTTATTGTTATTGAAGCATTTTGTGATCGTACGTGCTTCATCAGTATGTTAAAGGGGTTTTAGACCACACAAAGTACCTTTTGGAAGGATTCAGGTTATGATGTGTAGTTGAGATTGTTCTTGAGAAAAGGCGCTTATATTGGCACCCATTTTATATTCACTTTTTTTCTGAATTCAAAAACAAACAAAAATGATAGCTTTTAGCATGAACGATTGTTTTCACAGAGTGGATTTTGCTACGGTAGACTTCACCTTCACATATCTAATGAAAAGGGAAAAAAATCATCATAGAAATTTACTTGCCTAGTATATGGATCTCAAGTACATGAACATGAAAGGTTAAAGTATAAGGCTGAGTTCTATAAGATTTAATTTTTGTTTTGTGTGTGGGGTGTATGTTTTAGAAGCTTTTGGCTAAGTAGAAAGAAATTATATTTATTACATTGTATCTTTAGTATTTACTGTGAAAGAGACACTAGTTATGTATTTATTTCGTAGCCATAAATCAATTTCTCTCTGGGTGTATTTTTTAAATGCGTATTCTTTGAAACAGTGAGATAAGCATTACTTGATGTTTCGTTCTTTTGTTGTTTTTTTTCTGGCGCCCATGGTAGCAAATTTCCCTTAGTTATTCAATGTTGAGGATCTGGCCCTCCATCTTACCATCCCAATATTGCTTTTGTGGTTATGGCATGCGAGTAGTACATGCCTCCTTTGGTCTTATTTTGTTTTGCTCAATTCATCAGGACATTTGTTTCTGTTGTTTAAGAGTAAGGAACTGTGATAATGTGTTATGAAGTCCTCAATACTGAAAAATCTAAATCTTGTGCTTTGTTCATTTCTGATATTTGAGCTTTAATTATGATAACTTTTTAAATATTCCAATCCATGTGGATAGGCTTTTTTAAAAGACTGATTTCAATGGCCAATTTATTTTCTATAATGCTCTAAATTATTGTTGTACTAAAGCATTAGTTTCTACTCCCTTAAGTTGATTGCATGCAACATTTCTGTATATCAACCTAGGTGAACTTGCGCTGAATCGGTGTTTTTATAGTTCTTTGCCACTTTTGAGGAGAGTGCCAATGGGTTGAATATAAGTTCTGACCATGAAAAGTCCAAATCATGATTATCATTCATGTGCTTGGAAGGTGTATCTTGGGTACTTTTGGCTTGATAAGTATATTTTTTACAGTCTAGAAATAAAGCCATGTGGCAATGACTTAGCTAAAGAAGCTACAACCAACTTTAGGCATATGCAATGCTGATCACAATTTCTATTTGTTTTCAAATCTGATCCATTATCATCATTTAATTTTGTTTTTCTGCAAGGATCTTTCATTAAAGCTTTAGTAACGTAATGAACAAGTGCTCATAAATTTATGCTTCTGCTAATAATTCTTAAAAGATTCAAGATGGTTTTTATTTGAGGATTCATGAGGTGAGATTTCAAGTTTGTGCTGTGCAATTTTGTCTAGGTATTGCATTCTTAATGTAATGTGCTTAATCTTGAATGTTAGGAGTAATCTTGTATATATTTTAAAAAATCACGCCATTCCATTACTGGTATGAAATGTACAATCTAACCTGGATTAGATCCTGTTCAAACCCTATGTACCTTAAAGGACAAATTTGTGCAATTTATTTTCTGTCTCGTAAAATAATGTGACTAAGATACCCATATATGGCAAGATTAAGCATGTTTGGTATGAAAAGAGATTGTTTCTTTATGTAAGCTGTGTCCCATAGTTACCAGCTTTCTTTGCACTGTGACAAATTATTATATATCTGACACACCAATGTGTTCTCACACATACAGTTTGAAAGTTTGGCTGTTTTACCAATGAGTTGAACTTATAGGCTTTCAGCTTTCACTTTTTCATTTTTAAGAGTTTCTGCTTGTATTTCAATAATGACCCCTGTATGAATATCCTTATATTTTCAAGAATAAATTTGACCACCTCCTCTTGTCCTTATCATATTCCTCTGCCTCCACCCCACCCCATTCCTTATACTTGTGTGTTTTCAATATTATTATTATTATTATTATTGACATCAAAATCTGTGTTCAGGTTGTGTAAGATTGTGTACTTTGAAACGAAGTGTGTCAGGTACATATTAATGGTAAATCTGTGGAGAATGTGTTAGGATCATTGCTCTTCTATTTGCTTGATTAAGATTTTTCTGATTGTTCTTAACGTCAGCATTTTAAGGAATCATAAACTGGGTGCTTGGTTTTAATTATTTTGTGTGTGGTGTGTTACGTTAGTATTAGAAATTTGAGTTTCATTTTGATTACTCACACTGTTAAATCTTTAACATTTTTTCTCTTTAGTACTCCTTTGAGCTTGAGCTTTAATTATTGTTTCTACTATTTCTAAAACAAAAACAAATCATTGCTTTGTAAATTTTGCTTACGCTTTACTTGTGTGAATCATAGAATTTGCACAAAAAGGTTGTCTGAGCCTAACTCTTAAGAATGAGCAAGTATCTCTAATAGGTTCATCACAGGTGTGAAATTTTGATTGCTGTGAAGCTTGGGTTTTAGTTTTTAAATGTTGGTGGTTGTTTTTAAGTTAAGTAGATTGCATTTTTGTTTTCTCAGTTATGTTTTTAAATGCCATGTTTTCCCCTTTTTCTTTTGTACAAAGCTTTTTACTGAACTGTTTTGTTGTATCTTATTATTTTCTTCCCCTCAATTGCAGTTTAGCATTGCTTGTGTACTGGGCTCTGTGGCAATAGTTAGGTACCCTGAGCATGGTGTCCTAGTCATCAGTGGGTCCTGAAAGACAGGGTTCAAGCCAACAATCAAGGAATGTTTTTGTTTGCATCAGATTGTATATGCCTGCTCTGAGTACATTTATTTTGATCATACTTATGCAGATAATTATATTTTTATGTGAACAATAGAGGGTACTTTCTCTTTCTCTCTCTCTCTGTGGACTTATGAATAGTGGAGAAGTGATTTTGTACGTTCAAAGGTGAATGGTAACAGAAATACAATTTTTACTAGATCTATTTTCCTAACTTTACCATCTAAGTGTAGCAGTTATGTGTAAAATATTTGCGAAATGCTATTCTTTGTACATATTTGTCCAATATTTCTTGCCCAGGTCTAGAATATCTGCAGTGTACTTTAAAGCTTTCTCTTGGAAGTATGTCTTTGTTAAACTGCTTATGGACACCATAATTATTGTCAACATCAAGGCTGTAGATGAGATAATTGTCTCAGAAAATTAAAACAGACGGATCTGCATCCTTCAAAAAAACAAAAGATTATTCATTCCTTTTGTGAAGCCAATCCCATTTGTTTCTCATGACATATCAGAAATTATTGTATGCACTCATGCAGAGACCTTTACTAAGAGTAGACAGCACACAAGTTATGACGTTAAGAGTTAAGATGTTGTGAAGCATGCAAATCGTGCGTAACGTCTCTACATCGACTGGATTGCTCTATGTGTACTGCGGTTGTCAATGAAAGGAGCTTTACTATTTTTTATTACTATTGTTTGAGAACTGCATCAATAAAAGTTTTTGACAGTGTAAAATTTTGGTATCCTTATTTCGAAACTGATTCACTCCGTAAGAGCAAACCCGTACCCTCAACCAAGAATCTAACAGAAAAAATATTATGTCAGGTCACAAAGCTGCTCGCAAATACAGCCTTTGTCAGCATTACTCATTACCTCCGCCACACACTGTAGGGAGGGAAGGGCACGCGCTGTGAGCGTTGTGTTGGGTGTCAACGACTACGCTCACCCGTCCGACTTACTTTGTTGCCTTCCTTTCCTCGTCGGAGGATTCACAGGAACTGGTACGCGAGAACGTTTGGGTTGAGACCCCTCCCCCACACACGCACGGTGCCCGGTGCCCCCACCCCCCTTTCCACAAACTTGCCATGCAGCCCCAGCCCCAAAGCCTCACCTGTTCGCCGCAGACCCTCCGCCCCTCCCCAACCCTCCCCCTGCTTGCCGTCTGGGTAGGGGCGGTAGGCGGTAGGGACCCACCGACCCAGAGGGACCCTTGGCGGCTCCGCCCGCCCGCCCCGCCCCGCCCCGCCCCGCCCTGCCTTGCTGCTCCCGTACCGTCCGGCAGGAGGTGAAGCACTCAAGGGAAAAGAGCAGGGAGCAGGCAGTAGTCTCCCGTCAGCCGGCAAGCGCAGCGCATCGCTGGTGCTGGAACTGCTAGTGCCGGCACCTGTTGGTTCTCGCGTGTTATTCATAAGTAGTGCTCGGACGTGGAAATGGCGGTGGCGCCTCGCGAGTCCGTCGCCGTTCCCCTTTGCCGTCGTGCCGCCCGCGCGGTGTCGGGGTCGCCCTCGTCGCCCCCGAAGTGATCGGCCCGGCACAGTGATCAGTGCAGTGTGCTAGCACTGCTGGCGAGTGCGTGGTAGTGAAGTGAACTGAAGTGAAACACCCATGACCGGATTTATACGGGACGGAATAGCCGCGGACTGACAAAGCTGTAAGTAGCACGAGTGAATTTCACAAAAAGAAACGGCTACTTACTCGATCCATCAAAACGCGCTTCCTCCCCGCCTCCTTCGACGGCATGTTTACCTCCGATTACCTTTACCTTCTCGGCGGCGCCCTGACGAGGCCCGGCCGGGCAGGGAGTCCCCCGCGGCGCGCGAGGCGGCGAGGCGGCCGGGGGTCGGGATGAGGCAGGTCGTGGGGGCGGCGCGGCGCCCGTGGCGTGGCAAAGCCCGCGGCCGAGCAGGCCGAGCAGGCCGAGCAGGCCGAGCAGGCCGAGCAGGCCAGGACGCTGGCGGCGATCTCCCCCGCGGCGCCTCGGAGGGGCCAGGCCCTCGGCCAGGCCGGCGGCGGCCGGTTTGAAAGTGGACGCCCCACCCCGCCCGTTCACATGCTTAGTCAGCCGGCGTGCGCAAATGCTAGTGTTTGTGCCGCCGCACTCGCACGCCGCGGTGGCGGTGGCGGTGGCGGGGAAGGTCCAGAGGCTCCAGAGGCGTGCCGCGCACCGAGTACTTAGTACTTACACGCCGCTTATGCCCCTGACTGCGCGGCTAATTTGATCCCCGATCCAACCCGGGCCGTGAATGGGGCCTGATGCCTTGATACTGTATACTCCTCGACGCCCGGCCCGGCGGGTCGCGGCCGGTGGAGGATATGGAGGGGGCGGGCACCGCGCGGGCACGCCCTCGCCGCGAGTCAGACACTCAGACACTCCGGGGGGCATCATGATTCTTTCTTTAATTAAAAAGACTTGGCTCGAGGGCTGTTGCTCATGACTTGGGCTACATTCCATTGTCGGACCGACTCGAGTCTGGAGTAGCAGTGTAGCAGTTACCTTTGACCGTCGGCGGCATCCGGGCCGGACGTGCCTTTCGGATTCAGCGCGGCTGCAGTGGAGCAGTGGTTTCGAAGTATCGTTTCATCGCTCTGTCTCTCTCTCCCTATGGGACGTCCCGAGAGTGCGTGGGTGACAGAGCGATCCCTGGCTCGGCAGCCACGCAAGTGCGGCGGGCTGCAGCACACACTACACGTGCAAGGCGGCGTGGCGGCGTGCCCCGAACCCAGAAACCCGACGCCACTTCCGCAGAGCGGCGCGGCGGCGCAGTGCTCGAGGAGCGAAGGAGTCTTCAGTTTTCCGAGATCCTCTAATTGGTCCAATTTGGGCGTCCGACCTAACACTGACCAGGTGTAGTAGCGAGGGGCGTACGGCGTACCGTAGCCGGCGGAGAGGCATGCCGCCTGCCTCATTGGTTCCAGTGAAACTCCAACAACTCCTGCAGAGCGCGGCAAAAAACGTTTCGGGCGTGGCCGGCGTGGCCTATGGCTCGGCTGGCCAGGCTTGCACCGCTTGCCCGAGGTTGGAAAACAGGGACGAGGCGGGATGTGGCTGTGGGGCTTGCAGCTGCTTGCTGCACTCGGCCATGTAAATGCCGCGGTGCCGTTTGCCTCGCCGACTCGACTCGACCTCGACTCGCTAGCGCCCCCTTTCTGGGAAAAGCATTTAGTAGCTGCTCCGTGGCCGTGGCCGCCGTGGCCACGCTGCTGGAATTTCGGAGCTGCGGAAGGTGGGTTACGGACAGTGCTTTCGTCGCTGTCTCCGTCGCACTCATCGGGCGTCGCGTGGGAGTGCGAGAGAGAAGCGCTGTCCGGAACCGGCCTGCCGCTCGGGGGCGAGGGTGAGGGCGAGGGCGAGGGCGAGGGCGAGGGCGAGGGCGGCTCCAGGACTGTGCTGCGGTCCACGAGCGCGAGGAGCAGCTCCACGCCGAAACCGTGGCTACCGATCGCAAATTGAAGGCGGGGCCGAACAGGGCTGTGTCGCTCTGTCCTTCTCGCACCCCTACGGGACGCCCCGTGAGTGCGAGCGAGACGGAGTGGATGAAAGCACAGTTCGGCCTGTGCCGCCCACACCTGCGACCTGGGTGCGTCCAGTTTGTTTGGAGTCGGCTCGGCACCAAGCGATTCCGAGGAGCCGTTTCGTCCCTCTGCCTCTCTCGCGTTGACGAGAAGGTGCTGACGGTGTCGAGAGGGTGCCTACATCCACCCTGGAACTCTCCTCGTCGTCGCCGTCCTCATCCAAGGCATGCCACGCTCCGCTACACCGCAGCACCCCGAAATCTGTCCGCCTCTTCGTGTTACTCCGTGCTACTCCGTGCTACCCTTCGCTTCCTGCGCGGCCTCTCAACACTCGGCCGAGCGAGGCGGCGCGTCATGTCGCGTGATGGGGGGCCGTCACTAAACGCGGAACGCGGTGAGCGTCAACAAAAGCGGCGGCGTGCGGACGGGACGGGCCCCGTCGGCCGGCAGGCGCCGGGGGCGTGTCGCAGAGTGGGCGGGGGCCGCGGGGGCAGAGCGGAGGAAAGGGGCCTGAGATCTCACGCCCACCCCACAGCCCACCCCCACAGCCCAATACCCTCGGCATCTTCGCCAGGGCCTCGTCCTCGTCGACCGTCCCGGTGACGCGGCCACGCCGATACCGACGCGTCGGGCCCCGCTCGGCGCTCGCTCGGCCTCGGCCTCGGCCACGCCCCCATGCGAGCCCCGGACGAGTTACTGCACCGGACGGGCCGGGGGCCAGACTGCCCCATTACCGGCGTATTAAATAGTTTTCGGATTGCCCCCGGCCATGCCAGGCCATGCCAGGCCATGCCCCCGGCCTCCGGGTGGGGCGATCCCTGCCTCCCTGCCGCGCCGACGAGAACACGCGCACCCGAGGCTGTGGTCGTCGTGTGTCCATCGCCTCTGCGTGCTCCACGTGCATCTTGTCGCCGGGAGCCCCAAAGGCTCCAAACGAGCGGCGGAACCAGCGGAACAACACAAGACCGCAGCCACCTCGTCGACGTCGGCCGCACGCGGCGCGTGGCTGCCTCAAGCACCAGCGCTGCAACTGCAAGTACAATGAGAAGGGCGCCCTTCTTTCATGAAGCACACTGCCAGCGCCAGCAGGGGCCTCGTTCGCAATTCCCCTAATTTTTATTTCTAATGTGCGTGGGCGGGGCGGGGCGGGGCGGGGTGGGCTACATGGAGATGGGTAGGGTGCACCCTCGCGCTCGAAACGCCCGCTCCTCGCGAACTCCCACGGTGCCGCGCACGGAGCGTGTCGGGGGTCGCGCCTAAACGGGCATCATCATAAAAAGCCGCAGTTCGAATCCCCGCGGCGCGCCGCCTCTCCCGATTTCGGAAACGGAAATATGAATGGGTAAATATCGGCGCAAGAGCCAGCCGGCCGGCCGGACAGATTGCGGGCTGTTATTACCGCGGCATTACCCTGTCCGCCACTGCAGAGTGTTTGCCCTAATTGCCCTTCGCCCGTCACGACGGGAAAGGAGCGCTGCATATGAATATTCACGGGAAAGGGCTTTGCCGCTTCGCGAGTCTCGCGGCGGCGCTGCAGTGTTGGAAGTGTTGGACTGCCGCGTCTGGGCGAAAGGCGACGGCCACGACTCGGGATGAAAACCTGGCAAGTTCATCCGCGACGTGTCGGCACGGCACTGGCTTTGCACCTGGGGCTTGAAGCGACCGAGGAGCCCGTCTGACACAGCACAGCGAGCACAGCCCCGGAGGTGGAGGTCGACGGGGTCCTCGGGCGCGGCGCCGGCCGGCGGCGGCCCCCGGCACAGCGCGGCCGCAGACCACAGATGCACGTTGGGCTGCCTACTCGCACGGCGCTCTCCGCGCCCGGAGTCGCTCGCCGGCCGCCCGGCCTTTCTGATGCGCACTACAGGGCGTTGTTGTTGTGTTGTTGCAGAGGCCTGGGGACGTCCTCGCGTCGCGCACCGAGGATGCAGACGAAGAATGTGAACGTGCAGCAAGCGGAAGAGAACAGCGCGCTGTCGGCGGTAAGTTTCTCGTTTCGGAAAGGGGTTGTCTCCGCCCCACCGCAAATTTGGCGCGGAGACTCCGTTTTTTTGGCAGCCGCGTTCCCCGCCCTGTGTAGGGGGCGCACTAAAGTGGTCGCGATGACGCCGGCCTGACAGCGCGAGGCGTGGCGGGGCGGGGCGGGGCGGGGCCGCGTGGGCGAGCGGCGGCATGCAAGGCGGGCAGCGCGCGAACGGGGACGCCAATAGACAAGTCCACCCACCGCGGCCGCGGCCGCTTTCATCGGCCTGTCTCGTTAATCCGCGGAGTTAGTTTTGCCTTTGAACGCACACACAACGCAACGCGCGGCGGGAGGCCGAAGACGCAGCACCGTGCACCACGTCCGCGATGTCGGTGTCGTCGTCGGCCGGGCCGCGGGCCGTGGGCGCCGCCATGTCCTCCGTCCAGACGCAGGCCGGCCAACCGGCCACTCCACCGCATCCCCGCCTCGCACGCATATTGTCCCCAGAAAGGAGCAAAGGATGAGCAAACGACGTGCTTGTCGCCGCGGCCAGTTTATGTGCACGTTGTGGCGGGCTGGTTCGCCGTGACCGCGCAGAGGGCTTAGATTCGAAGCAGAGGTCGCCAAAGTTAGCCAAATCACGAGTTCCAGACATTGGTCGCCGTTTCGATCAACTTTGCGGCAATACTGCTAATAATATTTGAACATGGTCACTAGTTTCATTGATGGTCTCTTGTTTCCGTAAAAATATCTACAAGTACTCTCGGTACCATTCGCAACATTCATAGATAGTAATAATTCTCTCTCTGCACTCAGCAAGTGCTTACCCTCTCGCACGTCCATTGTGCGGCCGGCCCTCTGACGGCTCGCGAGTGGCGGTCCTGCAGACTGATTCCGAGAGTCCTTTTCGTCGCTCTGTCTCTCTCGCACTCATGGGGCGTCCCTTATGGGTGCGAGAGAGACAGAGCGAATCAGTCTGCTGCGGCCTGGCGGACTGCTGGCACTGCTGGCAGCATGGACTTGGCGGCGTATTGTTTGACGCGCCCCTTTCTCCTTAATGGTGGTGTGAACGGGCGGGCCGGGCCGGCCCTGCACTACGCCGACTCTCCGACCTGGCACGCGTACTGCGTGGACTGCGTGCTGTGCTCTGCTCAGACTTCAGACGTGGTGTGCGTGGCGGTGTGCCGCCCGCGGGGCGCGCCCTTTCCAAAGTCAACTTGTTGTTTCGGAAGTCACGGGTGCCTTTTCAGAATGCTGTGGTCCAAGATCTCGCGGCCTGGCCGATGACGGCCTGCCTGTCGCCGCGGCGCGTCCTCGTTGTTGACACAGTCGCGTCGCGCATCGCGTCCGCCCCGTCCGCCACGCGCGGCGAGCCTCCTGAACGGCTTGCTGCACAACCGGTCCCTCCCTCGCGCCGGCGAGCAAGCCCTTCGATGGAGCGTGCCAAATGCAGCCGTGCGTCGCAGTCCGCGGTGCGTCGTTTCAGGCTCTCTAGTCCCGCTAATGGTACACCCGGCCGCGGAGGACGACGTCCTGCGTCCTGCGCGACGTCCTGGAAGGTTTCTCCGCGCCGCCGTGCCGCCGTGCCGCCATGGGCGGGCTGGGCCGTGGCCGGGCCGTCGGCCTGCCACTTCCAGCAGTCGCCAAAGAGGTGCAGTCAACAGGTGCCGTGGCGGGCCACACACTGGCAGACCCGGACCGGAAGTCCTGGCCGGCGTGGCGGGCGGCGTGGCGGGTGGAGTGGCCAGCTCGCCAGCCCTGCCCTGCCGGCCTGGGCCTCTCAGCTGGTTCCCAGTCGACTGCCTCGCTCTGTTTCTAGTGGTTCCCACACCGCCCCCACCCCCGTGTGTCTACCTACCTGCTACCCTGCTCGAAATAAAAATTCCCGCCGGCGCGCTCGCTCCCCCCCCTTCTTTCTGCGATTTCGCGAGCGTGGCGAAGGGGCCAACGGAAAATCGTGGCGTTGATTAATCTGGCTGTTCTGTTGCAGAAGAATGCGGCGGAGGTGAGCGTCGGCGCCCCGGCGGTGCCGCAGAGTCAGCAGGACGCCGACGATGCCGCCAGCGCCATGGGAGGTGACAACACCTGTTCCGAGCGGCCCGCGCTCCCGCCGCGCACCAGCCTCATCAGCAGCAACAACAACAACGTCATCAAGAAGACGCCGTCGCTGTGGGCCGCCGAGTCGGAGCCATTGATCCGCGCGGGCCTGCCAGGTGAGATTTATTTGATCAAGGGTCCGGCAGCGCAGCGCGGCGTAAGGCGTGAGCGTGGGCAGCCAGAAGGGTTGCCGGCCAAGGTGGCGGCGAGGCGGCGTGGACACAGGGCCCCGTGGGCGTGAGCCCCGTCGCGTGTGTCACGTCCTGGTGATAAGCGGGGCTCCCCGCCGCCAAGAAGGCCCTTATCTAGACGGGCCGGTCCTCACAAGGCCCAGGAACCTCACCGCGGCGTCCCCTCTCTGCCCCTTGTGGCCCCCGTCCCCGTCGCCAGCCCGGCCTCTTCCCCGTGTCATCGGCCTCCTCCACCTCCTGGTGGTGGGAGTAGCCAGGTGCTCCTCGCACCGGGCCGCACCGGACCGGCTCTAGGCGCTTCGTGCTCCGCGCTCTCCGACTGCCGGGCTGGGCCGGACTGCCGGCACGCGGGGCGCGGGGCCCAAAGGGGTGGGGGACGCGGCGCGCCGCTCCGGCTCGGCTCCGGCGCAGCCAACCTCTGAACGACGCAACGCAAGTCGGGCCAGTGCCAGCGAACTTGTCCAGGACGCCAGACCCACGCGCCGGGTCTACCGAGTCCTCCGCGACGACCCCGCCGTCCTCCGAGGACGCCGTCAACCCCCATAGCGCCGTCCGCGCGCCTCGCGACCCCCTCGAACCGTCCCAAACCGCGCCGCAACGTTGGCTGCCCTGGGCGTCGTGACGTCAAGGGCGTGTGTGTGCATACCTGCCTTCCTCTACCTGCCAGCGTCTTTTTCCTTTCTTTTTCTTTTTCCTGTTTGGGTGGGGGGCGTGAGTGCGGCCCATGGATGCCCGACGGCCGGCCCGAGCCGAGCCTCTGCAGCGCGGCCACAAGGGCTCAGCCTCACCGCCAGGCAGGCCCCGTGTCATGTAGCGCGTCGCTCCGTGTTTCGTTCGGCCCAAGTGCCAAAGTTTTTTTGTCGACGGCTGTCGTGCCCGGCCTGCCCCGTGCCCACCGTGTCCCCGGCGGCCCCGCACCCGCCCCGCAGCACACGCCGGCGTGTGACTCGGACACCCCGCGGCCCTTTGTGTGCTCGTGCGCCTCAAGATGACTGTGTGTTTACGTCGTTGAGTAGTGTCAGTGGTCGTGGAGGTGCGTCTGCGACACCCGAAAGCTGGAGCTGCAAAGGATTAACCCCACAGGTGAGGCAAACCTCATAGCCGAAGCAGCCAAGCAGCCCGCGCTGCAGGGCTGCAGGCTGAGTACACTTCCGGTACTTCTGCCGAGTGTCCTCCGGGAGTGTCCTCCGGGCCCAACGGTGCCGTCGGGTCATTGTCATAGCGCTGCTTGCTCAGCATTTGCTGGCGAATTGGTGCCCCGCTAAGACTCAAGAGAAGCTCGGTTGGACTAAAAGCATCTTCAGAGGTTCACGTTGTTTGTTGTGCTTGTTGCCCGGGTGCGCTCTCGCCGAGTGCTCACCGCCAGCAACGGAGGCTCCTAGAGGACTGCTTTTCGAGCCGGCCCGAGGCCGAACGCCCCAATTACCGCAGGCGATGCCCCTTAAAACACGACATCCGCGTGTCGGCGTCCAGCCCCGCGTCCAGCGCTCGCTCGCGCTCACGCCTCTCGGCTGCCTCACGGCCCCGTCCCGCGTCCAGGTCTCCGCCGCCGTCTCCGTGTCTCCGCCCGTCCGCGTGCCGCGCGTCATCCGCACGCCGCCCGCGACGCGAGTGACTCATCACTCTCGTTTCCGCCGAAATGCAGCCGCGACGGCGGTAAAAAGACAGACTCACTGACGGACAGCAGGCAGACAGACAGATTGGAGAAGAAGGGGCAGCGGAGCCAGCGAGGCGTGACTGTCGTTAGCGATTTTGCTTTTGTTGCATCGCCCTGCCGCCGTCACATCGATCTGAAATGTGTGAGTGTGCGTGTGTGTGTGCTGAATGCGGCGTTTGAGGCTGGTCAGGCACACTGCGGGTCGCCCGGCGGGGTGGGGGGCGTTCCTCTCGCTCCTCCCACTTGTGGGCCTTGTGGGTATGATTGTCCACTTTTACCTGCTGCATGGGACCGGTGCATGCTGCTGCACTTGTGTGAGTGTAGCAGTATCGTGCTCTCTAGCCAGCTCGCCGGCCCCTGGAGCCGCCTAGCGCATAGCCACGGGGAGGGGGCTCACGATCCAGAATCGAATCACAACACGCACACGAGGCATGATGGCTCGCGAGTACTAGTATAGCGCGCTAGAAAGCAGTCCGGGAAAAAAGCTGATACCGTGTATGGTGCTCTTCCGAATGCGCCGCGTGCCTCGACGTCACTGCGCGGTCAGCCGCTGGACTCGCTCCGTCTCTGTCCCACTCACGGGGCGCCCCGTGGGGGTGCGAGAGAGACAGAGCGACGAAACGGACCTTCGGGCGGCGGTGACGCGCAATTAAACCCGTTACGTGCCCCTGCGCGACAACGCGGCGACAACGCCCTCGCGTCGCGCGCCTTGCGCCACCGCGCGCCGCCGTGGTGCACCACGACGAGCTTGTCCAATAAGACGGCCATCAGGCGCGTCATTACAACGAGCAAAGCCCTAGCGGTGCCCAGGCGGTGGCCGCGCGGCCGGTGCTCGCGGCACGACTCTGCGTCGGCGGATTGGGTCGCATGATTGTCCGCGACGGTGGCCGGGGCGGCCTGGCCGGGGCAGCGCGGTCACCGAGGCGGTCACCGAGGCGGTCACCGAGGCGGTGGCGGTGGCGGCGCAGGGCTTGGCTGCTCTTGAATTGCTCTGTTGCGGCCGCGACGCCGCGACGTGGGACTGCAGGACTGAAGGCGAGGCGGCAAGGCTAGCAGCGCCGTCTTTTATTTTCGCGGGGGGGCGTCCCCGAAGGACGTGGCTGCGGGGCGCTGCCATTTCTGACCCACTGTCAAGCGGCTGTGATTTCTGGCCTACTGTCAGCTGGCTGCGAATTCTGGTGCACTGTCAGGCGGCTGCGATTTCTGGCGCACTGTCAGGTGGCTGCCATTTCTGGCCCACTGTCAGGCGCAAGGGGTACCAACTCAAGATTTTCCTGTACACTGATTATATTTAGAGTATGATTACATGTGATTTCTTTTGATTATTTTATTATTTATCACTGATTATAGGAGGTTATTATGTTGATTATTGGGAAATATTGGGGATTATTTGAGCGCCAACCTCGGAAAGCTGTTAAAGTGTCGGAAATTCAATATTGGTGACTTTGGGCAGCCACTGCGTCAAATTTAGTTGCGGTCATAGGCCTTCCTCGACGCCTTACTATTCTGAAGGCCCTACTCTTTCATGCCCTGCCTCGCGAAGGCTTTGACCGCTGATAATTTAGGAGTAGTGGTCTCGCAAAAATAGCCAAACAGTGAATGAATTTCAGAAAATTACTGTTTTTGCTGACTTTGAGCGGTCACTGCATCCAATTTAGTTGCGGTCAAAGGCCTCCCTCGACGCCTTACTATTCTGAAGACCCTACTCTTTTATGCCCCTCCTCGGGAAGGCTTTGACCGCTGATAGTTTGCGAGCAGTGGTCTCGCAAAAATAGCCAAACAGTGAATGAATTTCAGAAAATTACTGTTTTTGCTGACTTTGAGCGGTCACTGCATCCAATTTAGTTGCGGTCAAAGGCCTCCCTCGACGCCTTACTATTCTGAAGACCCTACTCTTTTATGCCCCTCCTCGGGAAGGCTTTGACCGCTGATAGTTTGGAAGCAGTGGTCTCGCAAAAATGGTCAAAAGTGATTGAATCCCCGAAAGTATGATTGTCATTTCATTGGATGATGTTGATTATTTCACTGATTACCAACTAGACGTGCAATGATTATCTTGAGTTGGGTACCCCTTGGTCAGGCGGCTGCGATTTCTGGTGCACTGTCAGCTGGCTGTGAATTCTAGTGCACTGTCAGGGGGCTGCGATTTTTGGTGCACGGTCAGCTGGCTGCGAATTCTGGCCCACTGTCAGGCGGCTGCGATTTCTGGCCCACTGTCAGGGGGTGCTCCCCTCCCCGCGCCCTGCGCTCGTTTCGGCCGCCTGCCTCCATTGCTGCAGATTGTCGTGTTGGTTTGCAGGGCAATCAGTCCAGGATGAAGTGGCTAGCTGCAGGGCAAGTCATTCCGTCTCTCTCTTGCTCACTGGGCGTCCCGGTGAGGTGCGAGAGAGACGGGGCCCTGCAGGGCCCTGCTGGGCACGGGGGTAAACGGCGCACTGATCAAGCAGTTCGCCTCGCCGCCGGCCGTCTCGTCTCGTCTCGTCTCGTCAGGCTCGGCTCTGGACTCGGACTCGCCGACAGGGCGATTGCGTTCCAAACCAACGCACTTAGCATCCGCGGAAGGAAGGCGCTCCGATTGGCCACTGTGCATTTATCGTCGTGGCTGGGACTTGGAAAATGTTCACCGTCTCGTGTATTTCCACACTGGGAGCTCGCCACCGCACAGTGGGCCAGAAGACCCGTGAAGGCGGCCAAAACTCGTCACGCGTTTTGAGCTCCAGAGTCGCTAAATGGGACTCGAACCGAACCTGTGACCCCCCCCCCCAGTTCAAAACGCGTCAAGAGCTTTGGCCAGCCGCCACCGGTCTTCTGGCCCACTGTGCGCCGCCGCGACGCCCACAGCGTACCGACGCGTACCGCGTCCGTGTGTTCGTGTCCAGTGAGAGGCACCCCGTCATGCACGCCGTTCTGTCACGCTCCCCGCTGCGCTGCCTCTCGGCCGCCTCTCGGCCGGCTCGCCTTGGGTGCGCGGGCTGACCGCCTGCTCGACTTGCTCGGTACTCGAGGCACTCGAGGCACTCGAGGTACTCGTACTCGCGCCCGTCCTCCCGGCACCTAGCCGCGCCGGCAAGTGGACCAGGCGACCCGACCGGCTCACCTCGGAAAAGCGAACCCGTCACGGAGGCTCTTTCGCGAAGCAGCTGCAGCAGCAGCGGCAGAAATTTGACCTCGAATAGTTTCCGAAACGTTACACCACCTGTGGATCGGATTCAGGGTTATTTTGTTACCGACAAGCTTAGTGTCGATGCGAAAATATTTTTTTCGAAGT